GGAATTCTGAAACCTTTGTAAAATTTTATAACCGGCCTCTGATGTATAGAGACCAGTGTGCACTAAACCCATGTAAATGTATATGTATTTATTTTCTTTTATATTATATCCTGTATAGCATACAGTTTTATTCGAATTTTTCAATATATTATCATTATCTATCTCATTTATGACAATAAATACTTTATCGCAGGAACTCAAAAGCATCCCTTTCAGTTTGTGTCATAACCCACACATCTTTAAGCATCTACGTGGTGAATTGATAAACATCTTTGGACTGAATGCTGAAGTATAATCTAACGATCAAATGAACTTACCTTCAGGAAGTTCGATCGAAATTATATGATGCGTCCAGTCCCACCGGTCCAGTCCAAAGATGTACCTAAGCTACGTCCTGACGGGTAATGATCAAAACGGAATAATTTCAACTGAAGGACTGTAGTATAGCGGTATGAATAGGGACACGAGCGTAACAGGAGAGGGGGATTTTGCTTTAAAACCTTGTGGCTGGTAGTACGGCATCGGCAGGGCGGACTACGTGGTGAAATAATAAACATCTCTGGACTGGCTCATATCATCTCGATCAAACTCCCTGGTAAGTTCATTTGGTCGTTAGAATATGTCATGCATTGACATTGCCGAAATTTAGTTATTAAAAAAAAAACAGAATTTCCTATGTAGGCCATGAAATTATTTTTTAGTCATTTGTTTTAAATACCAGATTTATCGCATTTTTACTTTTTCCTGAGTTTGTTCGAGATGGAATTTCAAAACAATATCCATGTTGTTATTGCTATTTGTTCTCCTCTACAAGATGGCGCAGTCAAACTTTTAATTCGAGGTTTCTTCTTTCTACTTCCATCACCAACTCTGTTTTTTCATACGGATACTATATTAAAATTTTGCACATCTAGATGGAGTTTTCAGTCCTAAATTCAGCGATGTATTTCTATAGTTGGCCATAAATTTGTTGTTGGAACGAAAATTGAAAGGAATAAGGTTTGGTCAAACCGGAACACAAAATGAAAGTCTTATTAAGGTAATAACAATAATTACAAATAAGCAGAGACAAATCATAGTCATAGCAGATGTTCAAAACGTTGTCCGTTCTCTTCTTCTCGGTTTTCCAAACTCTGCTACCATGTTTAATTTGAAGACTTCAAAACTGTCATATGCTTCCTGTGCATTGATCATATGTTTTTACTTCCATATAATTTTCGTTTAAACAACAAATTCATGGCCAGCTAAGGAGATATATCACTAAATTTAGGATTGAAATCTCCATTTCAATGAGAGAGAAGAAATCTACGCTAGGCGTACCACACTTTGAGTGATTTTGGGTATGTCCAATCAGCCAGAGACCATTCTGTTTCCAGCTCAAGATACTTTGAGAATGCAAAACTCTCAAATATTGCACGAATCGCTATTATTGCAGCTTTAGGTTAGGATACCTTGGAAACTAGGGCCAGCCGAGAGATTTGGATTCGTATTCGGCGCATTAAAAACCTTTCGGAAAGTATACTTTTGTCGGCCGTTGTTATTAATTTGATGATTTTATAGACCAAAGCAAGCATAAATTGCTGACTTACTTTCACAAATATGCATTTCGGAAGGTGATGCATCACAATGAATCGCCAGGAGTCTTGTTCCTCCCATCTACCAACACCCATTGTCCATGTTCGGGATGAGGAGGTAGCATGCGGTCCTCTAGATTACTTTTCGACAATTCCTTATCGATAAAATTAAAGTAGAAAGCTACCTTGGTGTAGAGAGAATTCTGCTGAATGTTGCATTGGCCCTTAGATCCAGGAGCTAAGCTTGCTATCCCATGAACGTAGTATCTGTTGGTAGAGCAACGCGGACTTGTATATTTTAAGATTTGTGGATAATAATTAACTACCTGTTATATTCGAAATTTTTGAAGACCAATCCGCTTCCACTATCTCCTCTGCAAATACTTTTGCTCATATTGCTGAAGCCAGCACACATCTTGTCCGGCAGGTTGTATTTATCAGCCCATTCTTTTGGTAGTTCCACAGCACAGTTTGCTTCATACCAAACTTTGAGTGATTTTGGGTACCTCCAATCAGCCAGAGACCATTCTGTTTCCAGCTGCAGTTGTCTGGAAACATTCTAGATCTAAAAATATCGCTTGCAACTCCAAAAAGTTATTATTTTTTGTCCACCAGGCATGCGTATTCTCCCCGTTACAACAGGCACCCCAGCCCGAAAGGGATGAGTCTGTGAATATTTCCAACTGAAGGGAATCCTGCTTGAACTCGTTGTTTGTTGTAACTATATTATTCAGCCACCATGATAGATCGGCACGGGGATTACGTATCTTGAAAAGTGACGTTACATCCATTTTTTTACATTATACTGTTTTTTTTTGACATTATGTAGATTTTTCGACAAGATGTTAACTTAGCACTAGGTTATGGACACTTTTCTAAACTCGTTTTGTAGTTGTACGTGTTGCCTAAACGTCATGTGGCTTCCGTTATCACTGTTTGGCTCTGATATGATGTAAAATCTGCTTCAGAGATGACATTACTGGAGGTCTAAGCTGTAAGTTGAATGTGTTGATGATAATTCTATTGGATTCTTATCTCAAATACACTTACTTGAGATTAAAAGCTAGAAATTAGTTGCGCATCCACTTTTTCTTATCCATTCTGGAAATTACATATGCAAATTTGCTGAAGTTCAAAAACGAGAGAGATAAGAAGTAATTATATTCACTGTACACTGTCGAATTTCATGCTGACAGTAATTACACAACGGGGGCGCCGTGGTGATTTCTCGTAATTCTCCCCAAAGTTTTGAAATTACAAAAAACGTAAAAAACCGCAATTGATAACTTTGAATATAACCTGTCGTCCGAAAGGACAACATATGGATAACCCGTCGGACACAGCTAATAGATATACTTCATTGCCAGCATATTTAGTAATGATTTTCTCACACAGCAAATATCACTGATTTTATACATATGCAGACCAATACACACAATCATCAAGATGCGAGCTTGCTATTCAATCAAATAACCAGCTTTCTTCTCCGAGACTCAAAGATGCAAACTATAGACATCTCGGCTTCACAAAACATATGCAACCAACGATGCATGTATGTGTAGTTGAGCCATTCCTCCATAGATGGACGCTCACAACGATCCTAGTGAGCAAACGTGGAATAACTATTTGCACTCTAAAAACTAGTCTGCAAGATGACATCTTATAGTTTTTTTGACGTTTTATAGGTTTTTTACGTAATGCTCGTGCGGCTTGTGATTGTGACGAAAGCGACATCTTCGCATTGTATTCCATGCTGTGTTTTCTCAGAGCAATAAACTTCCCTTTCGAAAGATTTTGTACATAGCTATCCGTATTTTATGACGGGACAGGCCTAAAAAGCCTACGAACAAATTCTGGGATTTTAATTGTCTTTTTACCTAAATTTTTATCCATGTCAGGATTTTTGTTTCTTCTCGCGAGTAACATCGAGCTTCATTGTAGGTATAAGTGTTAAGCATGAAGCCCGACAATTTGCGCGTTTTTGAGGGCACGAAGGAACTCTTATCCTGACTGATTACAAACCCGAGTGATTCCAATAAGTTCACTGCGCTTCCGGGTTCTGCATATTTGTACAATTTTTGGCTGTTTCGCCAAGGACTAAGAAGTCGTCCAATTAATTTACACATAAAATTCCCATGAATCGGGGTTTCAGCACGACCAGCTTAAGAATTTTAGTAAATGCATAAGGAGCAGAACTGAGACCGAATTAAATAACGGTGAACTCAAATAATCGGCCCTCAAATGTACCTAAAACCCAAATACTTGAGAAATTCCGATTCCTCGGATATAAAAAAATATGCATCCTTTAAATCATTTGATGTTAGGCAATAGTTACTTTAAATCAACCTCAACACTGTACGTGTGGCTTCCATCTTATGTTTAGAATAATGCGCTTCTGACCGCTGTCAATTAAAAAGATTGTGGATAGGAATTGAACACTCTATGGGAAATATGTCACAAGTGCTCCCTTAAGCCATAGGCTCGCTATTTTGGCATTTATTAGGTGCTTTTCTGCAAGAGAAAAAGAGAATCTGGGTATGTTCCTTTGTTTGGGAACATTGCCTATTGGGACTCTGTAACCTTTAATCCACTGTTTTATTTTGGGTTATGGTTGTCCACTTCTCATAAAACTGTGCTAGTCTACCTGAGAAGGACTATTAGTGTTATAACTTACCTTATTTACTTCCTCCTCTTGTATCCGTCCATTAGATTTGTTTCTCGTGAGGGTCGGCCCTTGTGATTCCCTATCCTCTTCGGTGGACGGGCTGGGCGACTCCTGTTTAAAGGCACGTGGTTGGAGCTGCAACTTTCCTGCCCTCCCCCTTTTCGCTTGGTCGATTATAGTTCATTGCAAATCTCTGATGTGAGGATGAAGGCTGGGCTGACTTAATATATTTCTTGTGGACTGTATCGACTTGCCTTAACAACATCGCTGAAATCTGATTCGACTAAAAGGTTTGTTGGAAGACGATTTTCTAGCAATTCTATTTTTGTTCATGTAGGGGTATGTAAACGTATGCCGTGCTGCCGTCAAGTCATGAAACAAACTACATAAAATGAGCCGTGAATCTGACAAACTGGGCAGGAGAATATGTTGTAGTCACCGTTCTTGGCGGGTCAAAGTAAGCCTACCAGTATCCCTCTATATGTCTCAATCTCCCTGATACATAAACATTCGACCTACCCCTATGTGTGAACGTTTCTTCGGTAAGCTCAAAGACATACGTTTTTTAGTTGCGTGTCTCCGTCTCAAAAACTTTGTCGTTACGTATTAGTGCCCTTCAATCATATTTGTCAGCGGGACAACTTACTTGACATCGGCGTGCAATTTGAGTTGTCCTGTTATCAATCTTCTATATAAAATTGTACAATGCCCGGAGAATTCGATCAATGGAGAAGGCCGACAGCTCGTGATACATTTATTAGAGTATTTCCAGGAAGAGAATGAAAACAGCGGTCCCCTGTTACCCACTTTATGGAGAGAAGCTTTTTGGAGCCAAATAGATTACATCCAAAGGAAGATTGAAGATAGCCTAAGTAAACATGAGATAATACTAACTGATTTCTAGCTTCTTCATACACAGAGGGTCGCTAGAGCTCCATTCACCATCTTTACAATAGCGTTTAGTTTTAGCACCTTTCGGTAGAGATATTTCATCTTCAGAGCAACTATAGCTGAGTTGGCTACCTTCTGTTAGTTCCGAGCAGTTAATCGTAACGTTATTCTTGTCCGTACAGGATATCTTAACTCCGGGAGATATCTCCAGAGGTGGACAATGTTCTGAAATTTACATGTTTAGAACCTAGATAACACAGGCCGACAAGATTACCCAGAAGCCATAGCCACTTTCCCGGAGGTTCTTGATGGGCTGTGGTCCAAATCTCTCAACTGGCTCTAGTTTCCGAGATATCCTAACCAAAAGGTGCAAAAATAGCGATGTCGGCTTATACTTGAGGTAATGTAGTATGATTGATTATTATATTTTAAAAAGACATAGACTTCATCTCAAAGTACAATCCTGACCATTTCAATTGACTTTGAAGTTTACATTTTTCTGAATTTCAAATATGATACATGTTATGACTAGGTACGTGTGCAACAAAGCAGTGGCTTAGACTATAACACACTAAAAACTTAATAAAAAGATAATGCATTTTAATGAAATAAGACCTGCCAACTAAAAAAGTGTAAATCCTCATCACTAAGTCCATAAAATACATAAAACCAAAAGCTTACCCAAACTTTTACTTCCGATTGCACACCTTTTTAAAATAAAAATATACTTTGATATGGAAAAGCTGATTCGATCTGGATAAGGAAAATAAAAAATTCAAAGCGTCACATCTCAGTGAAAGAAAAAGACATTTAAGCAAACCCAACGGTATTTAATAGCACAAGATACTTTGAGAATGCAAATCCCTCAAATATTATGTTATCAAGAATCGCTATTATTGCAGCTTTAGGTTAGGATACCTTTGAAACTAGGGCCAGCTGAGAGATTTGGACCACGGATTCCTATTCAGCGCATCAAAAACCTTTTGGAAAGTATACTTTTGTCGGCCGTTGTTATTAATTTGATGATTTTATAGACCAAAGCAAGCATAAATTGTTGACTTACTTTCACAAATAGGCATTTCGGAAGGTGATGCATCACAATGAATCATATAATGTCCAAATAATCTGTAGGGCCTATTGCAATGCATACTCAAAAGCGTGTTAGATGCCACAAGGTCACCAGGAGTCTTGTTCCTCCCATCTACCAACACCCATTGTCCATGTTCGGGATGAGGAGGTAGCATGCAGTCCTCTAGATTACTTTTCGACAATTCTTTATCGATAAAATTAAAGTAGAAAGCTACCTTGGTGTAGAGAGAGTTCTGCTGAATGTTGCATTGGCCCTTAGATCCAGGAGCTAAGCTTGCTATCCCATGAACGTAGTACCTGTTGGTAGAGCAACGCGGAATGTATATTTTAAGATTCCTGGATAATAATTATCTACCTGTTATCTTCGAAATTTTTGAAGACCAATCCACTTCCACTGTCTCCTCTGCAAATACTTTTGCTCATATTGCTGAAGCCAGCACACATCTTGTCCGGCAGGTTGTATTTATCAGCCCATTCTTTTGGTAGTTCCACAGCACAGTTTGCTTCATACTTATACGGAATTTTAAGAACTTTGATGTGCTGCGATGGTTTTCCAGACTCGTCGATACCAAAACCTGCAATCTTGCATAACACGTCAGTTGAAGCGAACATATCTATAACAAGTAATCTTACCTCTCCAATATCTCCTACATGTAAAAATATGCTGTTTACATTGTTGATACATACAGGCTGTACTACTTCACTCAAAACAACAACCTCTTTGGTCAAGAAAAGTGCTATATCTCCAAGATATCTTCTACTCTCACCTTTATATTTTTCGTTTGATATGATGTTAGAAATCTGAAGAACAGTATGATAGTTTGGAATTAAGTTTAATGGTGACAGTTTTGATTTATCTGGAGTTCGAGAATATCAAAGGAAAAAAGCAGAGAATATGGAAAAGAACTACTTGCGTTTAGGTATTGAGCTTTGGTATCCTTCTCATCTTGATATTTGTTGTACAGCTTGCCAACGCCTACTTTGTATTTGTTGACAGCTAAAACATTGCCATCTTCATCTGTTGCACAATGTGCAGCTACAATAGAACAAAGAGCTAATAATTATCTTATAATTAAAAACTATAATGACAAAATAGTAATAATTTTATTGCTACTTGCAAAAAGGGGTAAGTAGGACCAGATTTCATCCAAAAAGTTCCTGTGAGCCGATCTCTCAACTTATGCCCCAACAGTAATTTCTGAACCTTAGTTGAACACAGATTGAAGCGAATATTCAGGACATCAAAAACAAGTATCTTAGAACATAGTTATATCGCTGTGGGGTTGTTCATTGATTTACTTCTCGTGATGAGCATTAGACAAAATGCTGTTGAGCCATGAGGTGGGAGGCCAAGACCTACTCAAAAGAATAATGGTTGACCTCCATATGCCACTATTGATAACCCCTCCTTAGATAGAACAATGATAATACCTGTTAAAATTATTCTTTTGCTGATAATAGTGCCTCCACAGACATTGAGATAGATATCTCCGAGCTTTCTGTAAAGTGTCGCAACCCATGGGTATTCTATTTCAGTTGGGACTCTCCCACCATAGATCAGCGGAACTGTATCATCGTTTATTTTTCTTCCACATACTGAAAAAATATATTAACTGTCACTGATATAACCAAAGCTGTCTATGTACAATAAAAATCTTATTGAATGCATACAAATACTACTCCTCTGAGGAAAACTACGTATTTCTGTGAACTCATTATTCATTGCAATATTCTTGTATTAGTCTGAAAATTTTGTCTGTGACTACCATAGTTATTATTATCGATAACCTATTCAGTTTTGCGTGGAATTTTTGGAATTTTTGCTTATCAGAACAAGCATTTCCAATGGCGTAACCGTTGTTGATATTTCGCAACTGATCTCAATTTCAAGAACTGCACCATGCCAGCCCGAATTGTTTGTAATTGTTGCAACCAACAATGTGAGAATCACTTGTTGCATATGAAAGCAAAATTATAAGCATAGGTACCTTTGTTGAGATATGGGCTGTAGAACTATTGCAAAGGATATTAAAGACTTAAAGGCGTTAATCATTGAGCTGCAGGATCAAATCAAAAAATAAAAAACCGATTGGTCGAAAAATCCAGTTTCTTCAGATTTTAATATTGATGGCATTGTTTCTGCGATCTCTGAGCGTGATAAGCGCAAAAACAATGTGATACTGTTTAACGTTGCCCAACCAGATCAAAGTAAGTCTATCAAGAAAAAATTGAAAATTATAAGACTGTGGCTATTGACATATTACGAAAAGTCAGTGAAATTTGACTTCAAAATATAAAGCCAATGAGGCTAGGTTCATTCTATGATACAAAGGTTAGGCCTACAAATTGATACTGGACAACAATGATTCAGTACGGAAAGTGTTGGCGAATTAAAAAAAACTGAAATGAATTGATATACTAATACTACATTTACATGTATTTATCTAAACTATAAGCACGTAAATATAGCATAGGATCGAACAAAAACACAAATAGAGTACTTCAGGAGTACCATCAAGACGTCGTGAACCAGGGGACAATAATTAATAATAATAATAATAATAATCCGGCTTTATTTATACAAAGTATAAAAAGGCGAAGTGTCGCTAAAAAGCGTTTTTCAACTTAATCCAAATTGAAGAATAAAATTTATTAACGCCATACCCAGGATCATTCCGATGAGCTAGAGCGACCCAGCAGCGAAAATGGCGATTCTAATCTATTTACTGCCAAAGTCAGGGGTCTCAATACCAAGATAGATAATTTTTTTTCAGCTGTTAGTGATTGTAAGTTTAGTGTTATTGTTTTAAGTGACACATAGTTAAAAATTGAAGGGGACTCAGTCGAATTGTTGCCGGACTTTTATGATATACATACACAGAAAATATAGAAAATGTGATCAACTGAATTTGACAACCGGTTTGAACGTTTTATGACATGTTGTAGACTTGGAAAATGTTACTCTCAAAACATGTAATATTCTTGGGTGACTTCAATTGTCCTAATTTAGTAGATAATAAATGAAATGGTGCTAAAGTCCGTTCAATGGTAAATTGGGTTGATTTTGGTAATTTGAAACAGTTTAATGACATTCGTAATAATAGCAAAAGAATTTTAATCCTAGTAGTAAGTAATTTTGGTTGTGTTGTATCTTATGTTGATAATTTCCTGGTTTATGAAGATAGGTATAATCTATTCTTATCAATATCGGTAAACATTGGTTAGTGATTATATTAAACGATCTTGCCAGACTATTGAAGATCATATTGTATAACCGAATATATCTGGTTGTGAAAGATCATATTTTGATCCATCAACATGGTTTTATGAAGCAGCTCTCAAGTTTAACGAATCTGATGCATATTTATGCAAAAAACTGGATAACAAGAGGCTAGGTTGACCTGGTATGCACGGATTTGTCCAAAGCCTCTGATAAGGTTAACCATAATATATTATTATTAATAATAATAATAAGTTGCCTTTATTCTTTTACATAATATGTTCAACATACAGCAATAGGCATTGATAAGCGACTAAAATTTTGAGAATTGAATCGGTCGGATATGAAATTGATCTGAACGGCTCAAAATGAATAATGAAGTGAACAGCGATCTATTACTATAGATTGATAGGTTTTTTTTGTAAAACTAGACAAATTTATCGTATGTGACCAATTTATTTCAAAACTATCGAGGTAGATTGGGTGGCAGAGTGGTGAGTGAGTGATTATGTACTGCTTAGTAACCACGACTTCAGATTCTTTTCAAAATTGTTGAGAGTATAATTTGGAAATTTATATCGAAGACTATTACACAACTTGGCGGCAGTATAAGAAAAGCTCTTTTTATAGAGAGACATAAAGTCCTTAGGTATAACTAATAATTGTCGATTTCTGGTAGCCAAGTTATTGATATTTTCAAATTTGTTGAGTTTATTCAAAATATATTCTGGTTTCTCATTCACTAAGATTTTATGAATTAAACATAAACTTTGGTATTTGCTGAGATTTTCCATGTTCATTTCACAATTCTCTTTGTATACATGGCTTATTGTAATCAAATTTCCGCATACCTAGAGAAAAACCGTAAGAAGAATTTTGTAGAATTTTTAACTTGCCTTTATAATTTTTTACTATAGCTATTTTTAGTTTCGTCTTTAATATATTTCTTTGAGGATATATTTGTTTGAGAATACTATATGATTTTGAGCACAATTCTTTAATATGGTAATCAAATTTTAATTCATTGTCCAACCATAACCCTACATTTTTGCTAACTGTTACAATTGGTAATGGAATTTCATTAATTGCTAATTGACAAAGATTTTCTGCTATATTCGCTTGTTTCTTGATCCAAAAAATATTATTTTAGATTTATTAACATTTAGTGTCAAGTTATGAGCTGCTGAGATATTGAAAAGTAAGCCTAGATCATTGTTAATTAGATTAAAAGAGCAAACCACATCGTCAATGGCAAAGTTGAAGTATATTTGTGTATCATGTGCATAGTGATGAATTTTGCTGTTTTGCATGTTTTGAAAAATCCGATATGTATATAGAAAATAAAAAAGGACTATGAATGGAGGCTTGGGGTACACCCATTTTTTGGGACCGATTTATTAGATAATTCGTTATTAATGGAGACATACTGATATCTTTTAGGAAGGAAGCTTTTTATAAGTTTAAGGGCGGCAGCAGAGATAAATCCATAATAGTTAAGCTTGGCACACAAAATTTCAATTGTTTCAAAAGACTTACTGTAATCTAGTAATATTAAACAAACATCTTCACCGCAGTCTAGTGAACTAACAATGGCCCTAATGAATAAAAATGTAGGAATTGCTTTGTCTTACAAAATTGAAGGAAAAGCTTAAAAACCTATGAATAAAAATCTGAGTAATTGCTTTTGCCTTCAGCAATTGCTTAAAGTTGCAGCAATTGCTTTTAGATAAAGCTTTTTCTTAAAAAACATCAGCTATTGCTTAAACATGCTTAGAATGGGATGAATAAAACACGCAATTGCTTTTTCTAGTGTAGTAATTGCTATTAGATATTTAAAGTAGGTCGATCCCAGCTTGCATTTGCTTTTAGTGAAATTTTGCTCGTTCTACTACATATACGGATTGTTTTTACTGATCTGGAATTTGGTAGTTATGGCCGAATATATGAATATTCGTGTAAAAAAAGTATACTGTGTACGTAAAGGCTCTAATGAATAAAAATGTAGGAATTGCTTTGTCTTACAAAATTGAAGGAAAAGCTTAAAAACCTATGAATAAAAATCTGAGTAATTGCTTTTGCCTTCAGCAATTGCCTAAAGTTGCAGCAATTGCTTTTGGATAAAGCTTTTTTCTTAAAAAACACCAGCTATTGCTTAAACATGCTTAGAATGGGATGAATACAACACGCAATTGCTTTTTCTAGTGTAGTAATTGCTATTAGATATTTAAAGTAGGTCGATCCCAGCTTGCATTTGCTTTTAGTGAAATTTTGCTCGTTCTACTACATATACGAATTGTTTTTACTGATCTGGAATTTGGTAGTTATGGCCGAATATATGAATATTCGTGTAAAAAAAGTATACTGTGTACGTAAAGGCTCTAATGAATAAAAATGTAGGAATTGCTTTGTCTTACAAAATTGAAGGAAAAGCTTAAAAACCTATGAATAAAAATCTGAGTAATTGCTTTTGCCTTCAGCAATTGCTTAAAGTTGCAGCAATTGCTTTTAGATAAAGCTTTTTCTTAAAAAACATCAGCTATTGCTTAAACATGCTTAGAATGGGATGAATAAAACACGCAATTGCTTTTTCTAGTGTAGTAATGGTTATTAGATATTTAAAGTAGGTCGATCCCAGCTTGCATTTGCTTTTAGTGAAATTTTGCTCGTTCTACTACATATACGGATTGTTTTTACTGATCTGGAATTTGGTAGTTATGGCCGAATATATGAATATTCGTGTAAAAAAAGTATACTGTGTACCTAAATAGTGCCGAGACAATGATTTCCGAAAATTATATCTCTGTAATCGCGAAAATGTGGAGTGGTTAGCGCATTATTTTTTGGCTGACAGCGGTGAAAAGCGAGGAGGAGCATTATCAGCTGTGAATAAGATGAACATTTTTCTGCGTCAGTTGTCAGACCCTGGCTTTCAAAATGCCGTTGCTGAAGAGCTTGGTGTTTTTAAAACATATACTTCCGTCCTGAACGCCGTTTTGGAGAAGGCCAACATTTGGATTAAATTCCCCAAAAGTGCTAACGACTTTATGAATGCTAAACAACTGTGGTCGGAGAAATACCGTTTCCCAAATTCTATCGGCACAATAGATTGTACGCATGTCAGGATTCCAAAGTTTGCTGAATTCGAATATATAAACAGGAAAGGATATCCTAGCATCAACATACAGGCAACTTGCAATGCCAAATAAATATTTACAAGTGTAGCCTGTCAATGGCCAGGCTCTGTACATGACAGCAGAATATCTAAAAATTCCAATATATTCAACATTCTTAAAAACAGCACCGAAGAATGTGTATTATTAGGGAATGATGGCTATTCTCCATCCCCTTGGATTATGACTCCCTGGAGAAATCCAACAACCCCAGAACAGCAAAATTATAATATCGTTTTTTTGTCGAGAACGAGTAATAATTGAACGATGCTTTGGGCAATTAAAAGCAAGATTTCCTGTCCTACAGTATAAAATCCGGAATAAATTAAAAAAAATACAATCGACAATAATTTCCTGCGTTGTTCTTGATAACATAGCTAAATGTTTAAATGACGAAGATTCTGATTACGTGCATCATGAAGCTGATGCTGAAATTAACTTAGACACTGTCAATTTAACTACAAATTTAATTCGTCAATTAGAATAACAAAAAAGGCAAATAGTGACTGAAATTATCATGTAAGTAACGACTGGTACTTATATTACGTGTAGGTACACAATTAAAACAAATCAGAAATACTATACCGCTATTAAACAAATGGAAACAGAACAATATAATTCTTAGGTACCTATATTCAACTTAAATTTAGATTTTATTAGTTTTTGATACTCGATGTAAACCCAAATTAAAAATTAAATCCTAAATTAAATAATTAATAGAAATTACAAGTTGTAATACATTTTTTCCTCCGATAAAGTACTGTTTGGCATAAAGTTACCATCACCTTGCTTCTGTCTCTTAATGATTTCTTCTTGTTGCATTCGACATAATTTCAACTGCTCTAATAGAACTAATCGCTGCAACTTAGCAGTTTATAATTTTTGGGTTTCTTCAGTTTCTGGTAAATATGACATATTAATTTTCTTTGCAGGAGTAGTAATTTCTTTTGCACTTGAGGGGGCCAGAGTGTCACTGATGGCCGAGGTGGAGGATTCAGCAAGTATTATGCTTTCGTTGGCTCCAACAGAGACAGTACCTGAATGATTTATTTTGATGTTTAAAAAAACCTACGATACAATAAAGTTTAATTTGCTTTACCTGATATTTTTTTGAAGATGGGATTCTTATGCACTTCCAACATTTCCATTAACAACTTTTCCCAAGACTTATAGATTAGGTATAGCTTTATAGCCTGTCTTATTAATATCAAATTTCTTCTTTATTTCGGTCTTCATATTACTTATTTTTTTTGCTAACTGCTTTGTTGTAAGTGTACGTTAAAAATATCTTTATATTGTACTAAAATTTTTAAAGCGGCCTCCTTTTCTATTTTAACTTGTGGAACTTGCGATTTATTAATAACGATTTTATGTTCTTTTAATTTATGCACAAATAACAACTGCTTATCCATTTCTTCCTCATCATGGGATTCGTCACTTCCACTTGAATCAGCCATAATTTTCACTGCCTTTTTTTATTTTTTACCGAAAAATATGTTCCTAATCCCACCTACTAAGTTATGCCGAATGTAAGAAACTCGGAACTAAACTGAAATAAATGCGCGTATCGACTCCTAAACATTCTTGCAAGTTTAAACTCGCTCAACACATACATATATAAGCAATTGCTTTTAAGATTCGGGAAATGCAGCATTTGCTTAAAAATATTATTCATTGCAAAATTTAGCAATTGCTTTTCCTTACAGCAATTGCTAGTTAAGCAATTGCTTTTGCCAAAAAGTAATTGCTTAAAGTAATTGCTTAGTTTTTATTCATTAGGCTCAATGTCATCGACGATTCAAGCAAGCGCTGTTGTTTCAAAAGAATTTCGGAAACCTTCTACTTCCGCTACACGTTAGCGGTTAGAGACTGCATTCCGATTGTTTCACTCAAATGTCTTCTCACGTGTAATACTTTTTAATTTGTTCGGGTGTATTGATATTTTTAACATGTAACGAAGGTATCTGTCGTTATCAACCAGCCCAATGTCTCCGTCCTTGTAGCTGCAACCTCAACGACGAGTAAGTTGTTTGACAATTTAAATCTGTCCTGTATTCTTCCATAGAGAATGTCGAAAGCTTGATTTTATCGTCAAAAGAGACCTTAAGCCTAAAAATTTGCCAATTTTCCAATTAACAATTAATTGTATTTTGTGCCCAACTGGTCGTTGGCATTGGCAATGACTACTGCTCACGTATATATATATATATATATCATGCGCTTAAAAGTAATATTAGTTTCTCAACGTAATAAATAAAAAGTCTGATTGGATGATGAATGTGAAAAGGATAGTATCAGTCAAGCAGGTTGATCCTTAAGGTACGATTCCACCAAAATAGTGTTCAGCACATTTGTTTACAAACATTCTGTGTGAAACTCCCGCATTGAATGTGCTCACTGGTATCGAATTTATCTTCTGTGTCCACCGGCAAAGCAGTGCATAACTTTTCTAAGCGTACAGTGTAGCACATTTGTGCACGAACATGTTTACCAAGCAAAGTTCTCACTAACTTCAGTTCTTAATATGGATGGGCGGGAATACGTGTGCTGCAGCTTGTGTTTTAATAGGTAGTCTGCTTAAAAAGAAACGAAGAAACGAAGAAGAAAACCACGATGTTGGGTGAGGCCTATTCTGCAGCGATAGAATGAAGAATAGATTTGTACAAGAAATAAAAGTAGATCCCTTAAGTGGATTTAAAAATTTTACTCGTATATCGTCTGAAGATTTTGAGTTGCTGGTCAATGCACTTAGTCCTCATAATGGAAAGCAAGACACCAACTACAGAAAATGTGTCCCTGTTTCAATAAGGCTTATTTATAGCTTTTATTGCCCAACAGATAATATTCCATTTATAGGCCAAAATCTTAAATTAGAAATATTACAAAAGCCTAACTTATAAAACTATCTAAGGCGCTCCCGCAGAACACATTTTAGCTCCGAAATAGAACATAAAGATATGTCACAAAACTTACAAATAGATACTATTATAATTCAAACGCATAACCCTTTCAGGTGATTTCAAAATCAAATTTGTGTTAGCACGACTGCAAAAGAAAGTAACATTACATCTTGAAACGAATCTTGGCGTTAAAAACTGTAGTTGTGATAACAATATAAAATAACAAATAATAAATCTGAAAACCCAGAACCTGAAGATTTTGAATTCGCTATTTTCTTCTTTTCTCTTCGGTACCGAGCCAAAATAATCTTCCATTTTCTCATTACCTCAGTCGAGTCACAATTGAAACTTTGAGCCAACTTTTGAGTGGCGTCGTGTTTTTTGTTTCTGTTTTTATAATCAGTGTGACTGGAATCCGATAGAAGAGGATAATTTTCAATTGCTTGAATAAACTTTATAATCCTATCATTCGTCCAGTCCATTTTCAATTTCGTAAAAGAAGTGCGCGTACAAACAAATGTTTTCACTCCAGGAGCGGGAGCAATACTGAGTTCACGAACAACAAGTATGTACCCGCCGACGCGAGTCCACTGCTTGCATGTGCGCGCGCACAAAAGTAACTGATGTTCGCGAACGTTTCCGAAATGTTTGCGCACCATTTGCTATTGTTTGCGTGAGTGAGTCGACCAGAAGAAACATTTGTGGTGTACACTGTGCATTAGAGTGCCGCACAGTTCAGCACACTGGTGGAATCGCATCTTAACATGCTTACGAAAACTTGCTAAGCTCATAAATTTAAAGGAATATTCCAACGAATTATATAGAACTAACCGAATTATAAGAAAAACTGCGCGTGAATAAGACTGTAGAGTGAGGTGGAATTCTGATACTCGACCTATCTCTAACCAACCGATCATGAACAAAAAAAATAAATAAAATTTTTTCTCTCAAGTAGGCGGGCTTCGAAGTGGTTATTAATTTGTGAATAAATACTAGATGGTGATATTCAACCGATTTATCAAATTTGAGCCATTTCAGCGTCTTGTATTTCTGTGATATATGGTCAAATTTTCTCAATCCACATATAAAACGGACCCAATTATTCTGTATAATTTGAATTCTATTTTTCGTTATTTTACACTAGTTACACTAGTTCAAACAAGACCACTAGCGTTTCACACAGTTTTTCCTGAGCTTATAGTTCAGTAAGTACCTACAAGAGTACAAGTGCGTAGGCGGAGGTAGGTTTTTTGAGCAAGACAGTTGATGTGATTATAATACCGTTACTTCTCATCGACCTCAACACCTAAAATCTTGGCAGTAGTAGCAATCTGAAGAAGATCTCTGTCAATAAAGTTATTAAGGTTAGCTTGGACGAAGTTTATTTTATTATCAGAACAGAAAACTATGTTTTTTGACTTCTCAGGGTTAACTAATAAATTGTGATTGGCTGAATATTTACAAACCATGTCATGTTGTAGCTCTATATTAGCTGTTGGTACTTCACTAGCTTTAAAATAATGCACCATTTCTGTATCGTCTGCATTTCAAAATTTTCCATTACGGCATATAGATCGAAGGTGTAGATGCGAAATAAGAGAGGACCTAGGACAGATTCCTGGGGCACTCCAGATTGTATGACACTTGGGACAGAGCTCTGTCTACGTAGAGATACTTCCTGAATTCGGTCGGTTAAATACGCACTGAAAAATTTAAGTGAGGTTTTATCAAAGCCGATATATTTCAATTTAGATAGAAGGAGATGATTGATCCTATCAAATGTCTATATATCTATAATCAACCGATATTAAAGCTACTGTTATCTTCTAATCTGAACGATCTTTTCTAAGATTTTTGATAACACCGGCAATAAACTTATTGGTCGTAAATCTGAAAGCTGGGTTGGTTTGTTAATTTTAGGGATAGGAATAACTAAGGCATGTTTCCACAGAATGGGAAAGTAGCCTTTCTCAATGCATGAATTGATTAGTTGCACAATATGAGCCAACGTTATTGGCAAACTGACTTTAATCAAGGTTACAGATAAGGTATCGATACCCTTAGCATCCGACTGTAAGCTTTTTATTGCCTGAAATACCTAAAAGGTTCGGCAATTCTTAGAGAAAAGTTATTGTTTGGGTGAAACTTATTTCGATTATAAAACTGAATAACATCTTCGGAAATATTATTAGCACAGTATACACTCATAAAGTAGTCATTAACCGCATCGGGATCTCTAAAATTTGACGGTATACTGGGTTTACTACTAAAATTTATATCAATATTTTTGAGTCCATTCCACAACTCTTTCGCATTACCTTGCTCCGATAACAATTCAATGTACGCTTTTTTGCGAATCTCTAAGAGAGCTTTATTTCTTTTCTGTTTATACTTATAAAAATTTTCTTCCGTTCGATTCTTTCTAAAATAAGGCAAAGCTTCATCTTTTTCTTTCAGTACTCTCTTAAGGTTGCTGTTCAAGCAAGGAGCAGGTTTTTGGTTAGCTCTGAATATTCTGATTGGAGCGTGTTCATCATATGCATCTATCACTGCTTTAGTTAAGTATTCAACTTTGTCTTCAATGCTTTGTAAGTAGAAAATTGTATCTAATTCCTTTGATTGAAGCTCTAGCAAAAAACTTTCCTCATTGAACTGTTTAAAGTCTCTTACCCTGATAAATTTCTGTTTTTTAACAGTATCTTTCACGTTCATATTACAACATACGACTTTATGGTCTGAAATACCACAAGCGTCCAGTATAAAACATTTATCAAACAGTTGTAGTTTATTGGTGAAAATCGGGTCCAGAAGAGTTTCTGAAGCATTCTTTAGACGAGTAGTATTTTTGACGAGCTGAGTAAAGCCTACCAACTCAAAGCAAGGATAAAGATCGTTCGGTGGATTAAGAAGATTAAACGTTTAGATCACCAGTAATAATAACTTTTGTCAAAATTAAGATAAATTGATGGCCGCAGAGTGTCTAAAATGTTAACGCATTCTGGAACACTTTCAGATGGAGGTCCAGTGGCGGCTCGTGGCAAAATAAAACAGGTGTTCTGCAAATCCGAACTTACCTATTTTTTATATGTCAGTTCGATCCTGCGCTCCTTCTTGGCAGCAAATTTGTCGATCACCTTCCCGTTGAAATTTTCCATGGTCGAAATAAATTCCTTTTCAATGGACAGCATCGACAATGCTGTAAGGCGATCCTGGGTCATAGTATTTCGAAGAAAGGTCTTGATTCTTTTCAATGTTGAGAAATTTCGCTCAGCCTCTGATGTTGACATAGGAGTTGTAACAATAATTTCTAATAACTTTTTTGTTTCTTTTAGTGTTTCCTCCAAACTATTTTGTATCAAAAATTTCAAAAGAGACAGTTCCATGTGAATCTCTGCAATCACTCCGTGCATAAATAACAGACAGCAGTCTTTAAACGACTTTTTTCGAATTCGGGATAAGCCAAGCAGGTAGTTTCCAACTTGTCATCAGGAAACTTACCACAGTATTCTCCAAAGTGTTCGGGGAAAAAAAGGGATGCGGCTACCAAATGATCTTTGAATTGAAATCTGTCATTTGCAGAATTCACTATATTGTCACATACTTCTAATGCGGCAACTCGGTGATCGTGACTGCTATTTTTACGTCGTCTCCTTTTGTTGCCTTGGGGTTCAGTGCAAATACTTTTGGCTTCATTTATTATGTCATCAATTTTATTTCTCACTTCGACAATACAGTTTTCAAAATTATCGATAGCCGTTTTAACTTGCTCTGGCTCGGTTTTTCTCTTTTGGAACTGGTTGAACAAGATGTCGACGTGAGGCATGATATGATGAAAAAATGTCAACCAGAACACGAAGACAGAATCGTTTAACATACGGCGAATACCGCAAGCTGCCTTGCAAATTGTTTCATTAGTAAAATTTTCTTCTATTTCTTCCATGCATTCAATGAGTGATTCTCTGTTCTCAAACACTACATTTATTGTTCGAATATTAAAATTTCAACGAGTTGTTGCTCCTTGGGGATTTTTTCCCCACAATTCTGTTCAGTACCTCTACGCGTCGAGAAGAATTATTAAAAAATCCCGGAATATCTTTCAAATCCCCAAAGAATACCCGAATTTGAGCATTTGCGGAAGCAGCTTGGTACATAATCAGGTTTAACTGGTGCGCATAGTAATGAACATAGCGAGCAAATGGATATATTATCTTTGTTCAATTTTTGCCTGTACTCCAACATTATGTCCGCTCATTACCGCGGCTCCATCATAGCTTTGTGAAATCAGTTTGTTAGGAAAATTCCCTATTAATGGATCTGCGACGCTCAAAATATGTCTTGCGGGAGTCACATTTTTTGGGATTCATATAATTCCAAAAACGTTCTTCTGGTTCGCCGTTAAATACGTATCTGAAAATTGTTACCAGTTGGGTTTTCCCCAAAATGTCCGTTGTTTCATCTGCTATTATCGCCAAATACGAGGCTCTGTTAATCTGTTTTATTATTTCTTCATCACAAACTTCAAGAATACAATCCAGTAGATCGTTTTGTATTTCTTTCGAAGTTCCTTTAAATATTGAAGCATTTTTTTATGTGTTCGCTTAAAGTTGTATCAAGCTCAGCAGAAAAATTAATTAGTCCACGAAATATTCCCGGGTTTTGGGAGCCCTCGGTTTCGTCGTGGCCCCGTAGCGCCACTTCAAATGCTCCGCAAAATTTTATACAATCGATTATTTTTGATAGAACGTACCTGTTTTTTGTAACTGTATCATTATGCTGTTGTATATTTCTTCAATATGCTGAATCTAACTGAGCTCTGATGTTAACAGTCCCCAATAAAGCCAATTCCATCGAATTATGATGTGTTTTAGAGTTTTCATGCTTCTTATTTTTTTTCTCAGGGACACTAAATCTGTAACACCTACCTCTGTCCAAGCTTTGTCACCGCCGAAAAGTATGCAAGGAAAGCAGAAAACGGCATTCTTCCTGTTGCACCCACAAATCCAGTCATTTCTGGTGTAAATCTCCCTGCTGAAATGCCGCGTATAGCCCTTGCCCCGACTAACGCCCTGTGTTTCTATAAATATGTTCGGCAGCGGACGACCTAACACCCTCAGCTCAATTTTTTCTTCAAATGTGTGTTTCTAGAATCGTTTCACGCTGTTAAGTCTGTAAACCACATCCATTGTCTTGCACTACCCTTCTACACAGCTACAGTCAGTCAGTGAGTCACTAGTCACTCAACGTAAGACCCAAAATACCTAAATAAAAAATTTTCGCATTCAACTTTGCCGGTATTGTTTCTATTTGTGTGACAACATGGAAAATAAATAATGATCAAATTACTACTGCTTTTTTCTGTTAAGACAAAAGTTTTGGCAGTTCTGCAGCTCTGCAGAACTTAAGGGCCAGCCGCCAATGTAGAGGTCTATATAAGACACTTACAAGAAGTTTACATTTCGAATCCACTGTCACGAGTGCCTCTATCACAGCAAAAGAAATTGTAATCTCTGATACTCACCAAACTGCTGGGATTGTCTTGGTTCAACAATGTCTTTGAGACAGCAAAAATGTGTAATTTTTCAACTAATATTAAGTTAACAACCGCATCGAAGTCCGACATGAAAGATCTACAATTCAAATGACCTATTCTTAAGTTATTATTCATATTCTTGATTTAAGTTGATCTTATTTATTTAGATAGTACGAACATTGTAAGCTGTTAGCAGAGTGATCAGTCGGGCAATTGGTTTTCAATTTATTGTTAATTTCTTTGCACTTGATACAGATAAGATTAGGTGAACTGCAGTCTCTCTTTCGTGATTATCTGATCAATTAGAACATATGGCAGAAGGATTTTGCAGTCGTTCTTATAATGTCCAAACTTGTTACATTTATGGCACCTAACAATATTAAAATGTTCTTTTATGCCACATTTCACCCAGCCAACGTACAAAAAACCCCTTCCCATAACGTTTTTGAAAACAGAAGGAGGAACTTATAAACCTACATTAACAGTATTTTTATATTCAAGTTTTCTAACCACTCTAACATCATTTACAGGGACACTGAGATCATTGTGTAGAAATTATGTTATCCGAAATCTGAGGATTATCAGCAGCAGACTTATCCACACCCTGAACTAAAATCCTTGGTCGTAGTTTATATGCTTTGTTCGCATGGAAATACCTCTAGGCTAACTTTTATTTTTATAAGTTGCTCGGCTTTTGGCGACAAGCTGTTGGGCAATAAAGGCTTATTATTATTATTAACTGGAAAAATGTCAAGTTAAAATAGTTTCTACTGACTTGGTTGGCAAACTGGCTGGTAGTTCCACGATCCATCGATACAGAGCAGGTTCTTTCTATATCGTGAAGGTGTCTCATAAAAAGGAGCACATTCGTATGATAGATAAGTACCATCAGTCGCTTCAGTGCATTTGATGTCCTGGCCATTTCTATCGATGCATTTCAGAGTTGTTGTCGAGGATGAGTATAAAGGTGGACAAATCTCTAAAACACAATAATTGATCGGAGAAGCAAAGTCTGATAGTGTGCTGTCAAATGACTTGATTAAAATTTAGTACAGAAAATTATTCTAATGACACTTTTCATATGAATTTCTTGAAATTGATTGAATTTGGGGTCTAAAGAAACACAGTTTCACGCTATAAAATTGCCGACGTTTCGGAAAAATATATTTCATTCTGCAGGCCTCTACAAAAATATATTTAAACACTAACGTTACATGTACATTAATTATATATAAAACTCGAAGTAAAAGACACTTAGTTTGGTTAAGACATTATATACAATGAGCTATTTAAACTAATCCTCAAATTTCATTAAAAAGATAGCAACATATTAACAAAAAAAATATAACAAAGGTAAAATGAGTAGATGGATATTTGAAAAAAACTAATAATAAGTTATTCCCAAGCTCGTTTATCAGAAAAAAATAAAATATAGTGGGCGCACCCCTTTAAAATGTGGTGGTAAAAAAATAATCTAACGTTATGCACATCTTTGATATCATTCAGACTACAATTGATCAATATAACAAACGAAACACTATTACGAGGTACAGCTAGATTCAGATTGCAGGAGATGAGAAAGATATTTCTAAATAGTAAGAATCTGAGTTATTTCCGTTATATTTGATGTTTTGCCTTTTTGTTGATAAATATTATGTTTGTAGTGGTGGTTATTTTGTCTCCATAAAATGAATGGTTATAGTACATAATACTTAAATCTGCTATGTCTGCGCTTTTGTTTACTGCATTATAGTACTTTTTGATTTCCAACACTTCCCGGAAAATCCGTTTAGCATAATTAGCATTTCTAAATATGACGCCGCAAGAATCAAAATTAAACACATGACATTCTGAAAACATGTGTTGGACTAGCCTTAATTAAAGTTAATATTCCCTAGAGAAACTTCAACATTCGAAATACTGATACTTTTATGTTGATATATTTAATACCCTTTTATTTAACAAAGGCATAGCGATATAAATATGAAATACCAACTTTGTAAAGTTGATTACCTACTTCCACATTCTGGCACTTTGCTGTTGCTAAAGTTGTTGTCACAGATCATGTAGGCATTGCTAGAGGTCAATTTGTACCCATCTCTACATGTGAATTTGATCAGAGTGTTAGCTCCAACTTCCTCACCTGGCAATCCCTGGCCCTTTACTACCTCCCAAAATCCATTTCGTTGATATGGAGGTAGCGTACAGGTAATTCTAAATTCAATGAAAAAATTGTAAGATCTATTTTCAAATTGATATCTGAGGAATACCAATTGTGTCTAAAAAAATTAACAGCGCTCATGACACATAATTTTGATGCTTTTTAAGCATGTATATTGATCAAGCTTATAATTTATGTTGCATTGACGCATTTATGTAAATTTTAAAAATTCAATTATGGAAGTCGAAGATTATCTCAGTGTCAATAGTTTCATATCAAAGACAAAAACTTATTGAAATTTCGAAGTAGTCACTAGAAGTGAAAAGCACTGCATTGATTTGAGAATCCGTGTGAATGAAAAAATAATGAATATATTCATGCTTCTTTCGTATGCATGCTTAATATAACAAAATAATCTCGTAGTCTCTAGATTATTAAAATATGAATATTTCTTATATTGGTTAACAAAAGGACCTACTTGTGATTCTCGTTTGCCACAAATGGGCTAGCAAGACCTTGCAAAAGCTCAACTTGCCCTAAAATAAAACAAAAGCAGTTGATATGGACTTACTTATTAATTCACTTCTAGTTATATTACTATTGTAATTTAACTTACCTAAAACAACAACAAAGGCATAAATGATCATTTCTACTAGAAAAATAAAATGGAATTAGAGGTTGCAGATCGTCATCCCGTGATTTTAGAATCGTAAAGATCATCAGTTTTAAATACGAAACTATTATGCATCATTATGCAAATTTTTAAACGTTTAACTATTGCCTCAGGATTGAATATACATTAATTCTATTATACAACAGTCACACTAGGAGCATGATAGAAGAGAATACCGTTAAGTAGACTAACCGTGTAACTAGAGTGCTCTGGAATATTTATATGGGTATCAGTTTGATTAACGTAGTCGATATCATGGGGATCTAATTTTAGGTGAGTCAAATGAGATAAAACAAAGGTTCAGTTTTGTTTTAATATATTTTTATAGGAACGATTCTTCTGAACTTTCAGTTTGTATTGCCATCGATATTTCCTTGAGTACATTGATGTTTGGACCGGTGCACTTAGCAGTATTGATGATGGCTTCTCACTTAAATCTCCCAATTCACGTAGTTTCCCAGTCCTCCATGCAAGTGTTTTAATAGTTGTTGTTTTCTGCCACATTTTCCTAGTACATCATCTCCATCTACGGGATATACATTGACTCCAAAAAAATCTTGTTCCTTTACGTATTGACCCTAAAATAAAAAAAAATATAGATACAGTTACAACAGTATACAGGGTGTTAATTAAATTTATCAGTCGATTCTTTGAGTAATTTTAAGACAAAACGTTCATATAAACATAGGTCCGCAAATTCTTCGTTAGAATCTTAAAATGTAAAGAAAAAGGTTTTTCGTAAATATCTTTAATATCCTTTACCTAATTTTGTTGTGATTAGGCGCTGGTGTTTATAACATTAAGGAGCTAATTCAGCCCTATCTTAATTAAATTTATTAAGTCCAGAGGCGTCTCGAGCAGGATCTGAACGAATATTTGTGACAAAATAATGTGCGCCACTGACTTCTGTGTAATTTTTATTATGATCCTTGCATTAAGCAAATATGAATACACCTTTTTTGTTTATTATTTTTTTAGTATCTTGCTTAGTTTTCAAAAAAAAATGTCTAGTTAATTGCAGATCCCTGGACCACACAAGGAATACGGGGAAAAGTTCCTCTGGAAATTATTTTTTTTATAGTCTTTTATTACTAATTATGTAACAACAAAAACAAATACTAAATAACAATAACATCTAAATTTCACTAAATTAAGTGTTGGAAATGCCCCCCTTCGGCTTCAATACAACCGTCTAGCCGCCTCACCATTGAATTACGCACTCTTCTGAAAATAACTGGCTATTTTTTATTATGTCATGAATTAATGATTCTATTTCGTAAATCATCTTCACTTTCAAGTTTTCTATACCAACGGTTTATGGTGTCCTCAGAAAAAATAATCTAAGGGACTCATATCGTACGAGGGATCTGCTCCCCCAATCCAGGGATTATGGTAATTTTCATCCAGAAATTGCCGCGCCACTACACTAAAGTGTGGTGGAGCCCCGTCGTGAATGTACCACATATTGAATCAGGTAAAACAAATTTTAAAAACCTTCAGCATTCTTCTCCATTAAGCCTAGGTGGAAGAAAATGAGGCACAATGGAATGGTCACCGACAATTCTGACCCAAAAATCAAAAGAAAACTGTTCTTCAAAAATATTTTCTATTAAGGCATGTATATTGTGTTCACAAGCTTCATCTGTAAACAATACTCAACCCATCTTACTGCGTAAAAAAGCTAGTTTTAAAGGGAAATCTCTGAGCAATAGATCTTGCAAATGTTGCTTATGATATGGATATAGCAGCTGGTCTCTTGAAATCTGCCACACTGTGACATGGGTAATATTCAGTTCTTCAGCTGTTTTCGGAGTACTGGTATGAGGATTTGATTCAATTTCATTTGAAACAGCTTCTTCACTTTGAACTGTTCGTACCGTTGGACAAAAAATAATTACTAAAAACACTTTTTATAAACATTATAAATTAATAGCTTATGGATAGTAAGTTGACGACTGTCAAGTTACTTACTAAAGGCTAAAATCGTTTTCCAAGGCCACCATTGAATATTATTTATTATTCTTTGATTTAGTAAAATTTATTAGTTTAGATGTTAATGTAATGTAATTTAATTCAGTGTTTATTTGTTGTTGTTACATAATTGGTAATAAAAAGTTATATAAAAAAATAATTTTCAAAAGAAACTTTTCAACGTATACCTTCTGTGTCCAGGGATATGAAGTTAAGTAGAATTTTTTCTCGATAACTAAGCAAGATAGAAAAAAATCAAAAAAGATGTTTTTCTATTTGCTTAATCGAAAGAACATAATAAAAATTCCACAACAGTCAGTGGAGTATATTTTTTTGTCACAAATATTCGTTCAGATCCAGCTCGACATGCCACTGGACTTAATAAATTTAATCAAGTTAGGGTTAAATTAGCTCCTTAATGTATAACCACCGCCAAATTACATCAACATTAGGTAAACGATATTTAAGATATTTAAGAAAAACCGTTTTTTTAAATTTTAACACCTTGTATTTTGAAAACGAAGAATTTGCGGGCCTATGTTTACATGAACTTTTTGTCTTATATTTACTCAAAAAATCGTCTGTTGAATTCATGGTGCATACTTAATTAACACCTTGTATAGATTACTTATTCAAATCCAAACCAGCGGAGTTTCTTAGGGATACCATCCGCTCTCTGCCTAGCCGCTGATGGACAGTAGCAGATAGCGATGGTGATCATATTGACAATGATTAATGTTTATATTAAATAAGTAAAACTCTGTTCTGTTTATAGATATAGATATCGAAAGGATTTATTTAGCTTTAAGCTACTTCAAATAATAATAAATATTATTTACAAAAATATGTTAAATTTACAAAGAGGTCATCACATCAAATCAAAATAGTTTCTCCGAAGTCTCTTTTTGAAAATTTTAGCTTTACTAGCTGTTTCTACATTAATAGGCAGATTGTAGTACATTTTTAGACCTTCAACAAACATTGACTTTTCTAAACCTTTAAATCTAAATCTTTGTATATGGAAATCTTCTTTTGATCTAATATTGTAACCTTGCATTTCACATCTTTTTTTAGAAACTCTTCAATTTTATATAAAAGAATTAAATTTGCCTCTTGAATAATTTGGTGTATGTTTAAAAAATTTAATGCCTTTAGCATATCCTGTATATGGGAGTATCTGCTGCGATTTTACAAAATCCGCATACATTTATTTAATAGAATTTGCAACCTTTGCTTTTGCTCATTTGTGCATGTAATCAAAAGTGATGCACAATAAATAAAATGAGGAAAAATTATCGTATTGTAGACTACCCTTTCGCTCATTAATTATTTATTGGCTGGTCCGATAACATTTGAAGCTTATCCTGTGGCTTTCATGCTGACAGAACTCCATTTGGTTCCATATAACCAGGAAACCATTCAGCTAGTAGTCTGTACAATCATGTAGAAGTATAGCAGTTTCAAAAGTTTATACTCAACATACACTTTTTGTGGATTAAAAAGTTGTAGACGTATTTGAGAACGCATAATTTAGAGTATCACATGGAAAAACTAACTTTGATCCATATTGAATCCTTGTTTCCATATCCAATCCAGTCGTTTCCATTATACTTGTAGTTGACTTTCTGCTCATCATCCCAAACGGATGTATAATTTTCGTAGTTGAGACAAATCTGGAAAAAGTACACTATATTAAGAAATGCTTAAATTTCTTAAACCCATCAAAGCTCTAGTAGATTACATTTTGATAATTGTAACGTCACCGTATCTGGGCAAGCTGAGCATGTGAAGGTGCTAACTATAAAGTATTCATGAGTCAAAGGTGAGAAGTATCAGTGAGGAAGATCTTCAACATAATATCAGGTTCAAGCCATATGGAGGTATAACATATTGAGGGACAAAAAAAGGTTAACACCTACGTATGTTTATTAGAGTTCAAGAATTTCTTACATATCGATTTATCTTGCTATGAACAAGTGACAAAATGGTCAGGTTTTTCTGTTAAGTTTTTGAGGTTGCTGCAAGTATTATTTAATGATAAAGAAGCATTCAGTTTTCGTGCATTTACGGTATATCGCCGAATACGACAGTTTGGCCTTTTTTATCGCCCATATTGGGTTACCTCTCACAGCACAACATAGGCGTAAACGGCTCTGGTGTAGGGAAAGAATTCTATGAGACCGGGGATGGAATCAGGCTGTCTTTCGTGACGGATCCCGCTTCTGAATGGGGATGCACGATGGTCGGGCAAGAGTGCGAAGGCGAGGTGGTGAAAGACGTGACCCACAATTTGACAGACAACGTCACGTTCGCCACACAGTGGGAGTTACGGTATGGGGTGCTATTGCTTACTGTAGCAGATCACCACAAATTTTCATCATAGGCAACATGGCAGACCGACGCTATATTCAGAAAGTAGAGTAGATTTTTTATCAAGACAATGCCAGACCGCATGTTGCCAGAGTATCGTTAGCCTTCACGGATCAACGCATCAACCCTGTAGCTTGGCCACCACGATCGCCTGATCTATCTCAGGCTCTTGAATTTGCAACACCGTCCACATACTCTAGCAACTCTTACTCACAAAGTTGCTGTAGCCTGGAATGAGATATCCCAACAGGATATCGGCCACCTTATCAGCACGATGCCCAGGTGTGTCAATGAGTGTACGTATAAGAAATCGTGAATCCTCAAGACATTATTGAACCAGCTTCTGCAGTCAGTTGATGGATCAAGCTGAAAATTTAATCACTTGACTAGTAAAAGACACTGAACATATATGCCAAAAATTATTAAAATCAGATACACATACGTAAGTGTACCTTTTTTTGTCACTCAGTATACGTCAAGCAGATAGTATGAAAATACAGAGAGTTGATCTATTCTTTCTGAGATGTTTCCAATCCAAAGAATATGACAAATACCGATGAGCCAATTATTCTGACCCAAGTAATATGATCTAGGAATTAGCATATATAAAAGTAAACACTTGTCTTTACAGTTCCTCTGTAAATTGTGACCCTTTTTGGTTGAGTAACCTCGAAGGGAAAATATAATTGACTAATTCCCTCGTCCTAATTTCTACCAATCACTAACGCGCAATTTTTAATTACAAATGGTTTCTAGATGGAAAAATTGTATGACAGCACCTGCCAGCAGTTTTTTCGAGTTTACCCGCTGCAAAACTTGGCAGCTGTTGTCACCAAAAATTAAAATACCTTTGATAATGTGTAATATGTGTATGTAGAATAATCTGTTACTCATGAAATAGCCTTGTCAAATACCATTCGGGCATCTAACTTTTTCCTGTGAAAACATTCGTGCAAATGCAAAAATCCTCGTCTTCGACTGCCATCACCACTCATGCTTCTTGTTAAAATATTACTTAGCGATGTGTTTCTTGATTTGTTCGGAAAAATTAGATCCCTTATGATATTACTTATGATAATCTCCAAACCAACTAGTGGACCATACGTTCTTTACTTCCAGGTTCCAGAAGCCTTTGTTCGCCATCTTGATGCCAAAATAGGTCTTATATTGGTTTCTCATAAGACAAACAAGCCCTTGAAGTTTCGAAGTCCTACTATTTCTTGAATTTCGCATGAACAATGGAGATGCAACATTTGTAGTTGAATATTACATAACAGTCTACCGATGTGTTGCGACAACAGTTTCTGAGTGGGTTTTGGCATTCTCGAAGTAATTTGGTGCTTTCGGGGCGATGAGCGAGAGTGACGTGTCTCGTCCATCCAAACAACAGATACTTTTTTGCTCACTTGTCGCTTTGGAAGGGCTGGACGTCTTTTGAAAGCAGGAATGCTTACCCCAGGAAGTCCTGGCATTTGTTGGTTTTGCGCGGTGCCATTTTAAAATTGTAACGTTGGCTTCGCGCGATCTCGGCCAGGACCTTTCAGGCAGTTGTGGCAACACATTGTAGCGGTGGTAGAACTGTCTCCTGCATGACAGATTAATATAAAATGTATTGTTATTGTCATTTTGATCCTTATTTTCAAAATACCACTGAAGTGGCCGAAACGTCAGTAAATAGTAATTTCCTTATATTCTATTGATATGACCTGGATTTTCTGAGATATTTAGCCATAGATTAATCATGTGAGCATTCTTCCTCAAGGGCATTCAGCTGCGGAGAAAAATGTGTATAGCCACGTTAGACAGAACACCTAATAATCTAGTCATACAGCTCACCTCAGACCATCTCAAGAAACCTCCATCCACTCCAGGTCCAGCGCCTCTTATAGGTGCTCTGAGATCATGGTCTCTCGGGTCAGTTAAGTTGAAGCTCCTTCCAAAGAATGCCACACTAATGACCAATTTTTCCTTGCTGATTCCAGCGTCCATCCAGTTTTTGGCGGCGGCAGCAATATTGAGGTGATTTCTCTCCCAAACGTATTCCTTGGAGGAAAAGTACAGGGCGTTGTTCTGCCCCGTGTAGGGACTCCAGGGACCGTAAAAGTCGTACGATTTTATTGTCACCCAATCTAGAATCCTGTTGGCAAATCCCAGAATTAGGTATAAATTATACGTAGACGAATTTTGCGATTGTTAAATGCTACTTGATCTCGCTCCAGTTAACCTAACCGTGTTTTTTTCACAGATTAAAAAGCTGGCCACTTTAACAACATCCAGCTCCGTAGACCCACATCTAAATGTCACAGTCAGTATTTAATGTGATCCGCAGGTATTTACAATGAAATGTGATACCACCTATTCATGTATAAGGTTATATTAATTCACTGACTGATGAAATGATTAGTAAATACTGATGGTATGGATATCAGTGTATACCGATTGTGTGACATTTGCCTTAGATCAACAAAAGCCCTGACTTGCCACTCAAGTAATTGGTCTATTGTTTATGTATTTGTATTTATTGCATGTGTACAGGCTGAAGGAAATTATTCTTCCGAAGAGATTAACTTCTAACAAAGTTTTAATGGAAATATTGAACGTACTCATCCATTCCCTTTCCTTCGTATCCTCTATCGTCTGGATAAGACCTTACGCTGGCACTTACGAGATAGCCCTCTTTTTTCAATGCATCCCTGACAGTCTTCAGGAATACGACGAAACTTTTCTGGAAAGAAAATATAATTGAATGAAGAAATACAGTTCACCTGTAGGGTGAAAATATGAAGAATATCTAATCGTTCCAGCCTTTGCTTCATGCATGTGGCTGCCAGAATTTGAAGATATCTGAAATACTTACTGCTTCATATGGTTCAGGATGAGGATACAACCAGTCAATATCTAAGCCATCAAATTTGTATTCTTTTAGTAACCACATTGAGCTCTTAATGAACTGTTCCGTTTTCCTCGTATCTTTGCAGAGATCAGAAAACAGACTGCTGTTACTTGCAGCTGACCCGCCAATTCCTAGTATGACTTTCAGTTTAGGATTTTTGAGTTTGAGATCAGTTAATCGGCGGTATAGACCTTAAAAATTAAATATACCATCATACTGAGCACTCAGAGTATCTAAACAAACCACTAACTACTGTATAGGTCACGATCAAGAGTGGTACAAGTACCTCTTTCAATGCAGATACCGAGTTCACTGTAACAAAACTGTTCCGGAACGATCCCAGCATTGGCGGGAAGGAACAAAACTTTGATAATCGGGTATGATGAACAATCACCGTCAGTCGCAAAAAATTATTTCTTTTACTATAATCTTTATATTACATTCTAAAATCACCTCTAGGACAAAAAAAAACTACAGAGTACTGAATTATCAATGTATGGTTATCCTCTAATTGAAACTAACAGGAAATTTGATTCCAATCTCAGAGACGTACCCACTTATGTCCTGGGTAAACTACAGGAATCAACCAAAGGAATAATGTATATTTCATCCAAGTCTGTCGGGGAAGGCAATAAAAATGCATAAGGCTTTGCTAAAGTGCATCTGTTTGGCATTCAAAAAGCATACCTTTGATTCGATATTTTGCGTTGTATAAGTAAAGAACGAAGATGGGGTTTTCATGCGAACTACTGTGGTTCAAAGTTTGAGGACTCGCACCACACGCAGGACTGAGAAACATTGTTAAAAACAAGTTTTTGTTGTGCCATTGTTAGTAAAATAGTTGGTACTTGTCAACCTCAATGTACTTTATCAGTTTTAATCAGTCAAAGCCTCTGTACTTTATACATATATTCTCTAATGGTACACGTACACAGGTCCGCACCGTAGGCATTGAGCTACGCTAAACCATCTTACTTATTTCCTTCTGTCTATCTGTTAGTCTGTCCGCTAATCTTTGGACGCACTGTTACTTAAAAAGGAGCACTAGGATTTTGACGAAATTTTGGCATAAAGTTGTTATGATGCCAAAAAAGTTTTAGAAAATCGACCCAGAAATAAAAATCGGTTTTTTTCTCAACGTACCAAAGGCTCTTACTTATTTTCGATATTATTTTGGGGTTGGGAGGTTGCAGTGGTGGGGAGGGTGTATAGCAATTTGGCAGCATCATCTTCATACAATTCTTATCTCGATAATTTTACATACTTATTAGACATATTTCATGCGTAGATTTCTCTGTATATTTGTATATACAGTGCTTTTCTTTAATATCCCCCTCCCCTTTGATTTTTTGAACAAATCAATTCAAAAAATTAAATCTTGAAGTAATGAAATTGATGCATGAATACCATATTTTAGAGTGAAATTGACAGATGGAAATGTCAAGATGGCCGCTGGGCGCCATCTTGGAAAAAAACATTATATGAAAATGGGGGTCTTGTGGCACATCATTTTGAAGCTCCTGTCGAGTAATTCATAACACTAGAATATAAAGTCAATACCTTTACTTACTACAAAATGGTGGTACATTTAATAATTACTTGAACACAAACCCACTAACATGCATATCTCTACAAATAATTGTAATTCCCTGCCGTATCCACAGCAACAGCGATAAAAACTTGTTTTGTTATTTTTTGTTGACAGTGACAAGAATATCAGTGCGAAAACAAACATCACTGTATACGTACAGTTAAAATATTCTTATTTAGTTTTCGGTTTTAGTGCTAGATACTGTTTAGACTATTTTTAAAATGGTAAATTCTCGTCCATTGGTAAAAAAATCGAAGCGATTTTTATTCATGGTGCGACGCGTGACTTTCACGATACCCGAAAGGATTTTTAATGATCGTTTCCCAAATCCTCCTATCTGTAGAAAATATTTAAGGGAACTTGTATCTAAATTTACAGCTACTGGTACTGTAATCAACAAAAAGCCCTCAGGTCATCCGACCATCCCGGAAGAACAGCAAGTTCAAATAATTGGTGAGATCATAGTAATTCCCCAACAGTCTACTTCCTCCATCGCGAATGTATGTGAGGTTTGTCCTTCTACTGTATGGAGACTTTTGAAAAATAATAAGCTAACTGAAGATGACCCTGATCGAAGAACAGAATTCTGCGAGACTATGACGGAAACCATTGCACGGAATCCTACCTATATCCAAAATATTTGTTTTAGTGATGAATGTACATGTTTTCTCAACGGTAATGTGCATAGACAAAATTGTCGTTGACACCAATCCTCACGCCTTCCGGGAAACTCATACTCAATGTCCTCAAAAAATTAACGTTTGGCGCTGGGATATTGGGAAATCATATTGTGGGGACTCTATTCATCGAAAAAACTTTAAACGGGGAACTGTATTTGGATATGCTGGAAAGTACTATTGACCCTCTAATCACCGAAATCGTCGAAGCGAATCCTAATGAATTCGATACTGATATTGTATTCCAGCAAGATGGTGCTCCACCGCACTACTCCAGACAAGTTAGGAATTATTTAGATAACAATTTCCCCGGTCGCTGAATTGGCCGTCGAGATCCTGTGGAATGGCCAGCTCGCTCGCCAGATTTGACACCTTTAGAGTTTTTTTATGGGGCTATTTGACGCAAAAGTTGTACGAAACTGAATCTGCTTCAATATTGGATATACGGCTGAAAATAACAAATATTTTTAGAAATAACGATGTTACTATGTTTGAAAATGTTCCACGCGAAATTACGGACCGGCTGTTATTGTGTCAAGAAGTTCAAGGCAACCATTTCCAGCATCTTCTAAACTGAACTCAACGTATTTATTCGAATTATGAAGTTAAATGTCAATGTATTCAGGTAATTATTAAATGTACCACCATTTTGTAGTAGGTAAAGGTGTTGACTAGGTCTAGGCTTATAAGGTACTCATCAGGAGCTTCAAACTGATGTGCCACAAGACCCCCGTTTTCATATATTTTTTTGCATGATGACGCCCAGCGGCCATCTTGACATGTTCATCTGTCAATTTTACTATAAAATATGGTATGCACGCATCAATTTCATTAGCTCAAGTTTTAATTTTTGAATTGATCCGATCAAAAAATCAAAGGGCAGGGGCAACACGTACGTATGTTTATCCGATCTTAATAAATAATTTTAGGCATGTATGTTCAGTGTCCCTTACTAGTAAATTGATTGAAGTTTCAGCTTGATTCGTCGACTGACTGCAGAGGCTGGTTTAATAATGTTTTGAGGATCCATGATTTCTTATACACTCATTGTCACGCATCGTGCTGATAAGGTGGTCGATATCCTGTTGGGATATCTCATTCCAGGCTACCGCAACTTCGTGAGTAAGAGCTGCTAAAGTCTGTGGAGGGTGTTACAAATTCAAGAGCCTGCGGTAGGTCAGGCGATCGTGGTGCCCAAGGTTAAGGGTTGATGCGATGTTGATCCGTGATGGCTTACGATACTCTGGCAACATGCGGTGTGGCACTGTCTTGCTAAAAAATCGGTTTTTGAATGGTGTTTAGGTATGGAATAAGATGAGGCTCCACTGCTTCGTGAATATAGTGTCGGGCTGTCTAATTGCCTCTGAGGAAAATTAGTGGTGATCTGCTACCCTAAGCTACCATAGCTCCCACGATGTGGTGAACGTGACGCTCTCTGTCAAATTGTGGGTCACGTATTTCACCACGTTGCCTTCTCACTCTGGCCCGACCATCGTGCATACTCGGACAGAAGCGGAGTTCATCACTAAAGACCACCTGATTCCATTTCCGGTCCCATAGAATTATTTCTCTGCACCAGAGCAAACGGTTACGTCGATGTTCAGCTGAGGTAGCACCCAACATGGGCGATAAGAAAAAAGGCCAAACTGTCGTATTCGGCGATATACCGTACGCATACCAACCATCCTTGTATGATCTGCAAACCACTGATTGGCGATGGCTCAAGTACTACTGAATCTGTCTCTCTGTCTTAACCGGCGGTCTTGTCGCTCTGTGGTCCCTCTGGGTCATCCAGAACCCCTCGCTCGCTGTCTTCGGCCTCCTTGAGTCCACGCTCGTTCATACTGCAGTATTCTGCGTAAGGATCTGTTGGTCCTCCTGGAAACTTCTCTTATCGATAGACCGGCTTCATGCAACCCGACAATTCGACCCCTCTCAAAGTCACTTAGCTGGGACACCCGGCGAATTCTAGGCACTCTAGCATAAGCTATACTAAATTTAACATTTAGCTGACACCGTGAAGTACGAAAACTGAATGCTTAACTTAACAGAAAAACCTGAGCATTTTATCACTTATGGCAAGATAAATCGATCTGAAATTTTTTTTTAATTCTAATAAACATACGTAGGTGTTTACCTGTTTTTATCACTTAGTATGTAAATCACAACAAGGCTGGGTATGGGTCTTGTTGACTGCATACCTATTGGCTCGTAGGCTCGCACCTCATACATGATCACCCACAGAAATTTTCCTCAGGGGGTCGATTAAACATTTTCGAAGAGCGGGGGTAACTAATTTTCAACTGGTCTGAGGGCTGGAGATTAATGGTTGGATGTAGATTTGTAGTAATTTTTTTCTTAGAGGGGCTAATTTGCGTCAAACATAGTATTTTATGAACTGATGGCGGAGTTGCGTAGGAAGTGCAGAGTCAAGCAATTTGACGCCATTTTTTGCTTTACAATACATCATTAATTGCTATACGTACCTGCTTTACCACTTCTGTCTATATCTAAATAGTCGTCTTGGACTCTGACGTCACCATAGTGCCATATCCCAGCAAAAGCGTAAACCATGTAATTGCATAGGAAAGGGTCCATGTCTTCAGGATTGACACCTTCATACGACCACCAACTAGCATACGTGCATATGACCTTTACACGAGAAGTTGTTTTATTTTTTTTTGGAGCTGGCGTTGGTGTCAAGACGGGAGTAGTAGTATTCTTCTCTAAAAACGGATGAATTGTTTAGAGGAAGAGTTATTGCTTCAGAAGACTTGTGAGCACATTTATAGGTGTTCCTTGAGGATTGAGTGTCGTTTGAGGAATAAGTTCTCGCTGAATTTTAAACAAACACTAACACTTGACCTTGACGAATGTTCAACGAAAGACGTGATATTTGTATGCTATAGCAGGCTGTAGCAGTTGTCACCACAGGCTTTCAAAATTTGGAAAATCTTCAATATTTTTAGAACTTTTAATTCAGAAATTCAATATTTTTTAATATCTTTACAAATATTGTAAATCCTGATCACCTGGAAAATTTTGTATAATTAAAAATCCCAAAATTTGATAATTGTGGGATGTATCAAATTCCTTAAATTTACAAAATTTTGAAATCAATTGTAAATCCTGGAAATTATGAAAATTATATTATATATTGAAAACTTCTATAACGTTCAAAATATTGCAAAAAAGATTTTGGAAACTTTTGTAGTTATTAAAAATTTTAAAATGTCGAAAACCGTACAAATTTCGAATATTGTGAGCATTTTCTAAACCTGTGATAAAACTGTTACAGCCTACTGTAAAATGCAGATCTTAGAACCTTACTTGAATGTTACTCAATGAAGTGTTATTGTTTGCTTAAAATCCAACAGGACACCATTCTGCAAGCAATACTCAATCCCCAAGGATCGTCTATAAATGTGACCCTAATACTACCCAAGCGGGGATTTCGGGATTTACTAAAGCGTGGCAGATGAATTTACAGGAGTATACCTTGTATCCATTTAAGTACTTCCACCAAATATGAGCCCCTTATATATATGGTCGCCCGTCAAGGATACAGGATCAGATTAGAAAAAAAAATTGATCATCTGAAATTCTCGAGTGCGTCAGATTAAAGTAAGGTGAGTTAGTTATATGCTAAAACATCTATATTCGACTAATCTGACAATTTGAGAGTGACGCAGAGAAGGGGGAGGGCTACACAGTTGTAAAAAAAACGTCATCTCGACATTCTCGAGCGTGGCTAAATTTTTTTTATTTTGAAGGGAATAATTCAAGGGTTTCGAAAAATATATAATCTGACGATTTTCACAAGCCGAAGTAATAAAAATTAATCGATAAAGTTTAATGCGTGCGGCTACAGGATGCCTATATTCCCCTCTCCGCGTTTCTATTTCTCTCTCACTCTTTCTCTATCTGTTACTGTTACGCACAAGATTCATTGCTTGCATGTGGAGTAATGCCCATAATGCAAAATTATTGATTTTTTGCCAACGGACTATGGATGGAAAGAAGTCTATGGAAAGTTAGAAATGATCTGGTTTGCAGGTGATCAATTGCCGAAAGCGTATGAAGATGTAGTCGTAACACCTGATATTTTTGAGGATACTCCAGAATTAAATATATTTTTTCTCCTACAATTAAAAAACACGTTATTCATAAGAAAAAATATAACTAAATATTTTAATAAATTTTTGTTACAGATACGCAATCTGAGGATGAAATCGAGCCAGAGGAGGAAGATGATTCTAACGGCGAAGATGATGATTAAAAAAAAATACTCAAAAAAATATAATCATTTATAATTATTTTTTTTATAAATACAAGTATTCTACTTAAAAAAACATGATTTTTTTTATTTGCATGCTATTTCCTGAGATTTTCAATTAATTAAATTCACTGATTAAAAGAATAAAATAACTTTTTTTAATTGTCAGAATAGGTGAATCCCTTCATGTAATCGTCAAATTATGACAAAGCAGGTCTAGGGCATAAGGGCATAAAGATGAACCATATATATATTAATCTGATGTGTTTGAGTATTTCAAAATGACGAATTTTTTTTGCACATTCTAATAATGACCGCGAGTTTGAGTCACATCCAAATCATCAGATTATTTTTCTTTTAGGTTCACTTAACATCCCCTTTGAAAATATGATGCGCTCGATTAATTTTTTTTTTCATTTTCAACCATTTCGTACGACCACCCCCATCATGGAAACAATCAGATTAACATACGAACATTTTTCAAAATACATAGGACATGGATGATATCAATATCTGACGCGATCGAGTATGTCCATGCAACAGTTTTTTTTACATTTTTGAAAATCTATATCCGCTCCCCCCAGCGATGAAAAGGTATATATTATAGGACATTTTTTTCGTTTTATCATCTAAGCTTCGCAACCCAATAGGCCTCTATGATGCTCGAGTAAATCCCGATTTAGCATCGTGGGCTCCCCTACTATTAAGCAAATGATTCAAATATGACTAAAAAGTACTAACTTATCTCTATCTTTAGCTCACACAGAGGATCACTTGAGCTCCATTCACCATCTGTGCAATAACGTATAGTTTTTGCACCCTTCGGTAGGGATAGGGCATCTTTAGGGCAACTAAAGTTAAGTTGGCCACCGTCTCTTAGCTCCAAGCAGTGAATCATAAGGCCATTCCTGTCTTTGCATGAAGTTTTAGTTCCTAGAGGCATCTCCAGAGGTGGACAATATTCTGGAAATTAAAAGGTGATCAAAAATTTCGAGAGAGCTGGTTTATGAAAATGCCTGAGAAATAACTGACTCACTTGCACATGAAGGTATATCAGAAGGAGATGCATCACAGTGAATAACAGGATGGCCAAATAATCTGTATGGTCGATTACATGACATCCTCAATATCGTATTTGATGCTACGAGGTCACCAGGAGTCTTATTCCTTCCATCTACCAACACCCATTGTCCATGTTCAGGATGAGGCGGTAATTTGCAGTCTTCTAGATTACCCTTTGATAACTCTTTGTCTACAAAATCAATGTAGACGGCCACCTTGGTGTAGAGAGAGTTCTGCTGAATGTTGCATTGCCCCTTGGATCCAGGTGCTAAGCTTGCTACTCCATGAACGTAGTACCTGTTAGTAGAGCAACGCAGACTTGTAGAATTTAAGATTTCTGGATGATGATTAACTACCTGTTGTCTTCGAAATTTTTAAACACCAATCCGCTGCCACTATCTCCCTTACAAATTCCTTTACTCATATTGGTGAATCCAGCACACATTTTGTCTGGCAAGTTGTATTTGTCAGCCCAATCTCTTGGTAATTCAGCAGCACAATTTGCTTCATATTTGTAAGGAATCTTAAGCACCCTGATGTGTTGAGATGGCTTGCCAGACTCGTCAATACCAAAACCTGCAATCTTACAAAAATAGTAGAAGTAGAAGCAGTTGATTGAACTGATGCGTGACATATCTGGATGACCCAAATGGATCTTCCCAAGAAAGATAATAAGTTTTTATGCTTATCACCTAATGAATAAAAATAGCATTTTCTTTGTATTCTTACTTCGCCAATGTCTCCCACATGTAGAAAAATGTTGTTGACATTGTTGATACAAACAGGCTGTACTACTTCACTCAACTCAATAACATCTTTGGTCATAAGTAGTGCTATGTCTCCAAGATATCTTCTACTTTCACCTTTGAATTTATCATTAGATATAATGCTCGCGATCTAAAAAATATTCTGCATTAGAGATATAATCTGTATAAAGTTGTTAACACCAATAAAAAGAAACCTACGTCTAAGTATCGAGCTTTGTTATCTTTTTCATCTTGATATTTGTTGTACAGCTTTCCGACGCCTACTTTGTACTTATTGACAGCCAAAAGATTTCCATTTTCATCTGTTACACAGTGTGCAGCTACGGTAAAAAATTAATATTTAAAATGCGTAAAATTAAAAGAAATATACATATAAAAAAATCGATGGTTCTGAAAAATATATGATTTAAAGAGTCATTGATCTTTACTGGTGCTCTGGAAAGATTGAGGCTGTGCTACCTGTTAGAATCATCCTCCTACTGATAACAGTTCCTCCACAGATATTGAGGTAGCTATTCCCTAGCTCCCTATAAATTGTTGCAACCCACGGGTACTGTATTTCTGTTGGAACTCTTCCTCCATAGACTAGTGGAACTGCATCGTCGTTTATTTTCTTACCACACACTATAATAAATCAAATTCAGGAATAAAAATACCAAAATTATGTAGATATGATAAATTACCAGGCTGGCAAACGGGCTGGTAGTTCCATGAACCCTCAATACAGAGCAGGTTTCTTCTATAGCCCAAAGGTGTTTCGTAAAAAGGTGCACATTCGTATGATAGATAAGTACCATCAGTTGCTTCACTGCATTTGATATCCTGGTTATCTCTATCAATGCACCTCAAAGTTATTGTTGAGGATGAGTATAGAGGTGGACATAGCTCTAAAAGACAAAAATCAATCGAAGAAAGGAAGTAGCAAAGTTGGAAAAAACACAATTGCTCTTATTAAAGGAACTATACTTTGAAACGTTTTACAATAAGATGCCGCATAAAGAGCTGCAGCGATTGATGATTGATTACACAAAAAGTTGACCTAAAGACAGTAATGAAAATTTGGGCTTAAAATTTCGATTCCACATTTTTAAAAGGAAAGCTAATGTTTCGTGGGAATGATCTCTCACGAGATAATCCTTTAACGCAGTCCCTATGCGCAATTGATTAACATCCAATATTAAATGCCCAACATATAACAAATTCAAAAAACACCTTAAAAATATAATTTTATATTCTCAAAATTAAACGAGCTTTCATTTCTGTAAGAGATACGATGTTGGTTAAAGAGCTGCAAAGTTGCGCATTTAGCTTCTGAAGAAAATGGCACTTAGAAAGTTTCGCAATTTCGACTACCTCCGGAGGTAGACGAAAGAAACTGGATTTTCACAAATCCGTTTATTTTTTCCTGGCTTTATTTGAAACACTATTTCAAAATAAAAGGTCTTTCATTGCCACATTTTCTTCTCTACAAGAATTTCAATATGATGTTTCGCCTCTTGTCCTCAGTCATCAACTTTATTTTTCTTTATAGACGCCATATTGGATTTTTCACAGATAAATAGTATTTTTAATTTTGATTCCAAAAAAGTGATGTGTTGATTGATAGTGTCAAAGCTTAGTTATTTGAGAAAAACTAAATTTCTTGAGTAGGCCTTCAAATTATTAGAGTCATTTGTTTCATAATATCATCAGCTAAACATTTATTTTGTTTTTATTTGCTATTTATAGGTAAATAGTACCCATTTCCGATTAAAATACAATACTATAACCTAAAATGTCTGAAAAAGCAATATACCTAGAGTTAGTCTTAACTCATCAAATGAACAACATAATGCAAAAACCTACTTACTAAGCGTAGTATTTAAAACATTGAATACAGTATTATTTTATGTGACTGATAGAGGCATTGTATTGTAAATAAAAGCCTTGATAATGTTACAGCTTCATAAACACATTCCATATCCGCCATATCTAAGCCATTGCACACGTCTTTCAATCAGTACTATTAATTTACAGCTGAGGTGTCATGTAGATTGCCTCCATCGTGCTAAAATAAGGCTTGTTTTAGACAATAAATACACAAATGTGCATTGACCGTTCAATTGAAAAATACTAATACATGTGATTACTATCATTTTCAAGGCCAATTACAGAAATACTATTTTTTTAAACGACGTGTTTGAAAATGTCAACGTATAATTTATTATAAATTTTTGGAATCATTCAATATGGGGTCCATGAGAAAAAATATAGTTGGGGACTGAGGACAAGAAACGAAACATCACATTGAAATTCTTATAATGCCATCTTGTAGAGGAGAAAATGTGGCAATGTTAATGTTCAAGTTCAGATCAAATAAAGTCAGGAAAAAAATAAAAGCGGGTTTGAGTAAATCCAGTTTATTTCTTCTATTTCCGAAAATACTCGGAATTATGAAACTGAGATCCAGTTCCTCAGTTAGCTAACTACGCAACTTTGCCCTTATTTAACCGAGATTTCAATGGTGAGAGTCGCCCACTATACATATGGTTTTGTATATTGTAGCACCTTCGTAAACTAGGACCTTAGGATGCCGATGAGACATCCTTGCAACCTCGTCGCTTAATCAACCAGAATTATGCGACCGCATGGAAAATCGACGCATTTCAATAGGAATCGAACGCCATCTACCAGACGAACCGAGTTTTGTCTAAAAAAAGCTGGACTGAATCGGGAACTGACGAGTCATCAACTAAGTACCCACACAGAGGATATAGACAGACAGTCAAATAGTGGACAGCACGGAAAGCGATAGTCACACTTTAAACTGTAAAAACGGTGTTCAGTGAAAGAATAGCGGTTACTAAATTTGGCACAAATGAAGACGTTAATTATTATATAGTATGACTGATGGGTACATTTTGAATTAAATATTTTCAAAATGGTGGCACTTCTGCTTGTATCGGAAGTAGATGCGAACTTGCTTATTTAAAATAAAATACGCTGTATGTTACTCAATTCAGGCAGCAGCGGTGGCCGCAGTAGTAGACTCTTCGGTCTCCTGATCAGTCGCCGTGCGCTGTGCGGGTTCGAGTCCCGTCCCAGGAGAAATTTTTCTCTTGGCTATGGATGTTGTGATTGTCCGTAGGTGGTAGACGGTCTCGGACTGTCGAACGCGGAGGTACCACCCGGCGGATCTCGTAGGCGGAGCCAGAATGTGTGCATGATGCATGCACACGTGTTCCCTCGCCAGAGTACGTGTGGCGTTCCCCTTTCCCATGTATCCCCCTATAGCCTCACGGTACCCAATGGGTGCTTAGGCCTTAGGCCTTCGTGGTAGTTGGAGTATAAAAAAATTTTTTTTTGGATTATTTGCGAGATTCTGAATACATCCCATTTATATCACCCGGTTTCTTAGTCTAGCTGATCTTGAGAAATTTAATATTGTGCTTACAGCATGGTCAATGTAGGCTAATGTACTATAACAATTCAATCTCATATTTTTGGCTTTGCCATATGATTTGTAACAAGGCATACTTTAGTAGATATTATGTCAGATGTGGATAACAAATAGTACCTGGTGGTCAGAAAAATGGAATGAAAATCTTATAAGACATTTAAAAGGTAGATTTATGCGTTGAAAATATGGTTAATTTTCTATAAGGTTGTATATTTCTCAAATTAATGGTTTTCGAGGTGTATGAAACGATTGGTTCATCTATCGCTTAAATGCCCCTATTTTCCATAAAGCTTCTACCATTAGATAATCCCCGTTGGCTACTACGCGACAGCGTGATTACATGTAGTTAGTAATTTGTCTGACTTCTGCCATGACACACCGAGATTATCTTATGGTAAAAGCATTTAAGCAATATATGAACCAATATTTCCTTATAGGTACATCGGAAACTATTAATTTGCCCAGGAGACAACCTTATACAAAATTAAGCTTATTTTCTATGTTTAATACAACGAAATTATGAAAAGACGGTTTCTAATTGAAAAATTGGCTTTTTGGGTTTTCTATAATATAATTATTTGAATTCATTCTTTTTTTACCACTCTGAACTACTTGTTCACCAACTTGAAATAAAATCTACTAAACTAGCTACCCTGCTATAAGAAACCTGTTTCAAATTATGTACAGTCAAAAATACGAGACAAAATTGTTATATTTCATTAGATTACATTTTTTTAAGCGAAGCTCGAGATACCGCTGCAATTCCAGGTGGGTCACCCAGTATATTCTACTCATGAAGAAAATAATTATTCACATGTGTATTTGCTCCCAAACGAGTGTTGCACTGACGAGCTTCAACAAAGACAAAGGAATAATGAATATGACTGGCTCTGAATTAAAAATGATGTAAAATCGTTTACCTACTTCCACATTCTGGTACTTTGCTGTTAACAAAATCGTTGTCGCAAACCATATAGGCACTCTTTGACGTAAGCCTGTACCCTTCGCTACATTTAAATTTTAGCAACGTGTTAGATTCAACTTCATCACCTGGCAGCCCTTGGCCCTTTACTACCTCCCAAAATCCATTTTGGGGGTAGGGAGGTAGTATACACGTATCTCTGTTAACGGAAAGTAAACATTTTGATTGCTATTGATAAATACTGAATTATAACTATAGTACTGATAGCTTTTTCAGACAAATAGATATGAATGCAAGAAAGTAAAAATTTCGTATAGAAGTCTGTAGGCTGTAGGGGGGTGGGTGAGGGTGTATTTTTGAAGTTTGTATATTAATACATTTTCAAAGCCGGTAATGCTGCGCATCTATCAGACAAATTTCAAACATTCAGGTTTTCCGTACATTTGCCCTTAAACCTCAGAGAAATTGTTGTTTTTCAGAAAAATAGATGTGAATGCAAGAAATTCAAAATTTTATATTGATTTTTTTAGTATTGAAAAATTAATTCCGAAGGAGCTTACTTATTAGCATATTTCCGACAAGTCTGGTTTCTATTATATCAACCAGCATTTATTTAAATTGGTCGTGTTACGTATATATGTAAATTTTGATTACAAAAAATTATGAAATACCTCATCTTGGATAAATAGTTATTATTGATCCGCCTTTAAGAAAACCAGACTTTATTAAAAGCTACCAAGTATAAATAAAAAATATAGTGCCCAACATTGTTTTACTATATTGTACGGAACCACAAATAATAGATATTTACTACAAATATCACCGATTCAAACTGATTCACAAAGGGCTTACCTTTTCTCCTCACTTGACGTAGATGGAAGCGCAAACGATTGCAGAAAATGAACTTGACCTACAGTGAAACGAAAACATTAAGCTCATACTGGCAAAAAGCAACAGTTCTTACATGCTTTGAGTGTGTAACCTATAAACATTTAAGCCTAATCCAATTATTTTGAGCCGCTGAAAGAAATATATAGTATGCTTTATAGAAGTAATCATGTATTTCTCTATTTGTTTCTGAAGCTATCGAAGCTTCATAATATCAGCTCCTTTGGAATGTCAGAAATGCATGATGCCAAGGTATCGCATTTAGTTATATTAATTCTTTGTTAGTATTATGCTTGAATCTGAGTGACCTTATCGGACTTTAAACTTACCCAAAGTAAAAATAAATGCACAAAGGATCATTTTCGTTTCGTTTTTAGAGGTTAAGGATTTTCATCCTTCGGCATAGAAATCGCGAAGAGCTCACATGTAGGTAATGTTTGTTTTAATACATGAATATCCAGTTACACAAGTTGTGGAACTTGCGAGATATCATGGGAGGAATGTAGATTCCACGCTAAGTGTTATACACCAGTGATACTAGGAATAATGCCGACCAAAATTTAGTCGTAGTCATTTGTTATTGTGTAACAGAAAGCATGACGTCATTTGTAGTGAGTAAGCCTTGGCAGCGGCCAGTCCGCGACATATTTATTTTCTATTAATTTAATTCTAAGTATTAAGGACAAATGCACGGGGAAATCTATGTGTGAAATATATTTAAATAAGCGCGTAGAATTACCGGGGATAGAAGTGTATAGATATACTGGTGCAAAAAATGCAATACCGTCTCAAATTTCTTACCACTAAAAAAATCCAAAACATGAGCAGGAATGCTTGAATCGTCACAAAAAGATGTTTGCACGATTTTATTTCTTTTTCATTTTTACCCGTAGCTCCGTCGTTGCTGGGCCTATTTTCAAGTTCTACAAAGCTTTTTAGTGCGACGGAAACAAGTTACATTGTTTTTCGTGATCACACTGACCGCCTGGTTCAGAAAGCATACTGTTAAGGACTCGCGCAGAAAGAAAGCGTTCAAACGTTCCGAGTTACGCGTTCTGCGTTCCACGTTCTTTGTAACTAGTAGATCTCTATAGAGTCCCGCAGACACAGCGGCAGTCAGATCGCGCCGGTCAGTGTCAACGCTCGCGTTCCTGCGTTCTATTGTCAGGAATACAAAGAACTGGTGGAACGCCTTCGCAAAATTAACTGATTTTGTAAGGAAAAGGCAGTTTTTATATGTACTTAGTAACGCAGACCATAAAAATAGTTTAAAAAATGCAGCATGGCTTAAAATAGCCACGTTAATGGGAAAATACTGCCAATCTTTCTTTTGTAGATATAGCCTTTCTCCAGTTGGTGTCTTGTTTCTCTATTTACTTTTTTATATTACTATATATATATATATATATATAAAACTACTTAATGATATTCGGAAGGAAATAAAAAATCGTTCTTCATGTTCAAGCTATGCAGGAGAACGGGACTGAACTCTCCTTTTTCATCTCTCTCACAATTAATCGGATGCACCCAGTATCTTTTTTTCTTATTCTTCCAAACTCCCCAAAAGCAATACCTCGTCTTCTGAAGACGAACTACGAAATACATGTCTTACCTACAAGTAACCTTCGTAAAATGGAACGTAATGTTCTTGACCTGACTGTGTTAAGACTGGTACGAGGAACTGACCGGATAAACGTGGCTTGAACGGTAGACGTTTATGGAGGTCATATTGAGTTGAATTATTCATGCATAACAGGTTTAAAAGTTTTTTCGATATTCCGATTTTCTTCATTCTTCTACTTTATAGTATTCAAAAACTATCGGTTCACCAACTTCTATTAATGACAACCACTCAGTAATAGATTTAATAAATATCCAAATATTTTGAACGTCATCATGTAGACTCTAATTTTCGTAGAGTTGAAATTTGATCTTAATTACATCGTTATACTGAGATTAATTATACTTTTTGTGCAAGGTTAAAACATTACACTAAGAAGGTTATCGTCTTAACTGACCCTACTCTGAAACTTACATCTCACGTCTAAAAGTTGCTCCCTCGAGAAATGGTGACTCGAAGTCAAGTTGTCCATTCTCAACCGCCGTATTTTCGAAGAAGTTTCGGTGTGCCTAGATTTTCTTTCAGCGAGTAGTGTAACATAATATATTGCATAACATAAGCTAGCCGTAGGAACCTGGCCTAGATAGTAAATTACTTTATACATTACTCCTTCGCTAAAGCACATCCCTCGTCTCATTATTCACAAGTGTAAAGAGTGGCTTAGGTATCTACCAATGCCATAATGGTGCGCACGCGCACCTCGCATCACATGTTACTTGTTTATTCATGATTACGTCTTGTAATGTGGAAAAAGTTTAATCGCAGTGCTGCAGTTTACATTTTCATTTCAGATTTTTTCAAGTAAACCTGGCAAGATCCTAGGTTCATTTTACTTTAAACGCGTACTGGCGGAGGAGGTATCTATTGTTATAGCAAAAAATTTCGAAGATCAGATATTATGTTTTTTGGGAGATATGTTGCCCCTTTCCGTTGGTCTGTCGGTCTGTTTGTCTGCCCGCTAATCCTTGGCCCACCTATAACTTGGAACATACTGCTCGGATTTGGATCACATATTTACACGCTCATTGCTGCATTTTTTTCCATGAAAAGACCAAATAATGCTCTAAGGGTTTTTCATCAATCTATGTCTTTTTGATGCCATTGCACTACATAGAAAATTGTAGTAGCAGCTGTTTCAAAGACGTGTGAAGTATAGAGCCAATCTACTTTACCCCATTTTTTCTCAATAAGTTTAAATGCTTGATTACAATTTAAGACATACTTTTGAATCAATAGCAGAACGGGGGTCCGCCTTGGACACGTTCCTTTACTATCATCCAATAGTCATCCGAGAGACAACTTTTTGTTGATCTTGACACTGCTTACACCGTTCTGACGACATTTTCTGTAATATGCGGAGGCAGGCGAGAAATCTGACGATCTCCACCTACCAATGACTGGTATTCCGACCGTTAGATATGTCGACCGCGTTTGGTGCGGCATCTATAGGGAACTTCCATCGTCTTTCATCGTATCGACCATCGGTTGGTGAAGATCATCGGATGTTTCGACTACCTCCGCACAATATTTTGAGTTTATCAGCCGATCATACGAGTACCTACTTGTTTGCCTCCCGTTCATCTGTCTCCAGGATTACTAGTCCTCTACCGAACTTATGGGTTGCTAATGAGCACGAAACAGCGCTATTTGCAGTTGGTTGTGGTTACAGAGACGGAAAGCAAACATGCTTTTTCAATCAAAACATTTCTGCCAAATGTACTGGAGTACCAATTAACTAAATTCCAATCTATTAATAGTATTGACGTATGGCGATAATAGCAATGGATTTCCTTCGACTCGTGTGTTTACAAACATTAGGTTATCTCGGATGCAACAGATAACGCGTCACCTACCTCTACGCCACTGGTCGCTGTGATTAGGCATTCTAATCGATTCGTACATCTTGGGATTCCCAATAAACTGATATTGCACCAATTCTTAGTACACGGTTTTGTTATGCTTGTATGACTGTTCTGTATGAATGACATAAAGTGCGAGTATAATGTTGAAATAATGAGATGTTCGAAATTTCCAAGCTCTTAGCCATCAATCTGAATTCATGCATTCATACAAATGTACTTGGAGTGCTACCCATAGAGAAAATAACATGGTTTAGTCGGCAAGATATGTTTCATGGTGTCAAAGAAATGATGTACCATTTTGCAGGAGGCAAGAGTATCATAATAGACAGCTTAGGATGCAAATAAAAGATACAATTTTGGAAAAATTTCATGCTTGTTTATTTTGCCGGAATGTAGCATGTGCGACATCTTCTCTATATATGTGAATATCTGTCCAGTCTGTCAGTATTACGTCTAAGCGAAAAGATGTAAAATTTTACACAATTACTGATACCCAAGGAAAGTTATAGGTATGATTTTATCGGCAAACTCACCTTCGATCTGGCAGTGAACTGTCAAGCCGGCAACAGTGTAGCTTGCCATCACCCCACTCAACCTGTGAGTCAATCTATACAGACGTTTTTTTACAATTGCTATTTACGCTTAAAACTGTTACTAACATTATACATTGCTTTTAAGTAATGCTATAAACATCCGATCAAGTTCTGTATCTTTGATGGCATTGGAAACTTGACAGCCAACTTGCATCCTTAAGAAATTTGGTAACTTTAATAGTGGCGTCACCTACATGTTCCGCGGTTAAAACCGCGGAAGAGAAAATTAGAGTTTTAGAAATAATATTCCCCAAATACCCCTCTCAGACGTTTCGCCTTTCCACTAAATTTTTGATCGCCTTCTGGCACAAATGCGGCTCAATTTCAAGGTGAAACGCGAAGTATTTTTATTCAGGTCACTGTTCGTCTGCGGATTGTTTGAGTAGACTTTATCCTTGAGGAATCCCGACATAAAATGTCAAGCGAAGCTAGGTAGCACGATGCCGCCAAGAGGCAGACATTAGTTTGCAGCCATCAGGAAAGCATAAGGTTTGTTCCAACAAGCAAAAAACTATTTCAGAACTAATTTCGATTTATTTTTTTGCGCATGCCCGAGGTAAGTACATGTACAGTTCAGAACTGCTAGAACAGAGAATCACATGGCTTGTGGTAATTGAAATTAAATTTAAAATTAAGTTTCTATACGATAGACCTGGAACTACAGATATTTTATTCTTTAACGTCCCACGCCTACTGGCGAGGAAGTATTGTAATGGCGGAAACTTCCTGAAATAAGATATCATGTTTTTTTGATATTATATGACATGTACATCACGAAAAAACCTTATCACTCATTTTCGTCCGCCTCACTGTCGATGTGTCGGTTTATCCGCATATCCTTACTGGAGACTAGTGCTGAAAAAGAGACATATCGTTTAGGTGTCTATCATAAATTATACGCAACAATATTTAGCAATCCACAGAGTGTATCGCAATTTTTTGATGATAGTATGTTAATATACTCCCAACCCTGGTAATTCCACAAACCTATACATAAACCTATACCTTTACCTATACATATACCTATACCGTTACACCTATGCACTTTAATAATATATACATTCTTTCACAGAATCTCCCAAAAACTGGTTACCAAGGGGTGCCATATTTAGGAGGAGGTTGGGGGGTCGGGAATGGTCCGTCCATTATAAAATTTCTTATTATTGCCGGTAAATATTTTTAGCACAAAAATAATTATAGCAAAAACCGCCCTTCCCCATCCTTTTAATCCGGAAGTTAGCTCCGCGACTTCCAAATCCTCTGCTTGGTATATAATCCATTGAAATAACATCATCAAGTATTCTTCTATCCCAACAGTCGAGTAGTTCTCACTTTGTACACTTGCCCTGGAAACGCAACGCCCCTGCTTTACAAAACTCCATTGTTATCCTTAATGCTAGAATAAGTTGCTCTCTATCTCCCTCCACCATTCTAATGCCAACCACGCTTCGCCACAGTCCAAGCGTCTCAAACTCTATAGCTATGAAAAAAACACCCAAAGAGTTCGATTTCAAAGACATTGTCAGTATTAACATGAAGATTATGAACGTCTTTGGGGTCATTCCACCGAGATTGAATTCGGCATTTGATTGGACTGTTTATGTGTTGCGAGCAACTATTTTGCTTGGTAGGTATCTACGAGATTTCGTCAAAAATGCACTGTCGAGAAAAATTCCGACTAGGTATAGCATAATATCAATAGTATTTCTTACATCAGTATGCTTTAAATCCAAAGTTAAGCTTCTAATTTTTCAAAAATCAGATTTTCTATCAAATACTACTTTTTGGGATTTTTTTAATGGCTCCACATTTTTAGCATCTCAAATTACATATTTTTTATGAATTTCGCGACATTTCACTTTATTTAAAAAATGTTAGATTTCAAATATCAACGAACACATTCTTTTGGCATCGAGTAGATTGGATGCATTTAACGCACGTACAGCTTGTTTAAGATTTTGAATGAATCTGACAACTGCTGAGCTACTTTTTATACAAACAAATATTTATTTATAAATCCAGAGGTTAGGATCATACGTTCTTTGGACAGGCAGTGTCACTTGTTCCGCGTTTTGGAATTGAGAAATCCTACATATAACTTCAGTTAAATAACGATACCAATGACAGTCTCAATACATCTGAATTTTAGGAGGAATTCTGTGGCAAATATTGCACCACTCCACACCACATTTCTATTTTTCTAGCGTTTTTCTTTGGAGGTCTGCTGGCCATCGAATTCGGATACATGTACGAGCATTATGGAAACATTGACGAAATGGTATCAGCATCATTTTTAACTCTAGCTAACATTGTTACCACAATTCTTTACATTTTCATTTACAAGCACAGAGACCGAATTGGTAACTTGGTGGAATCTATAAACAGGAAGGAATTTCAACCAAAAACTCTTCAGCAGAAAGTTATGCTCAGAAGGTAGTTGAAAGAAAAGTTGCACAAACAATCCAAACCACCTAACTTATCCTTTATTTAGTTTAGCATACCGACATAATCAAAAGTCTATATTGCACTATGGTCCTATATCAATCATTTTCGGGTTACAGGGTGTTCAAGTTTAATAAACTTAAACTTTAAGCTTAATAAAATCAGACATGCGCTTACAACAGATATAATGATTTGTTTCGCCATTGATTAGGCACTTAGCAGCTCTTTTAATACCGATTTGATCCATCTACTGGACGTTTACAGACACATTTTTACTATTCACGCCTCCTGGCGTGAAACATTTCGAAAATGAGATATTTGTTTTTTATATGATGACATAACTATGTCACTCATTTCCTTCAGTCTGTCTGTCGGTTTGTTCTCTAATCTTTGGACTGTCTATAAGTTTCATGTTGAGAAAATATTTGTAGGGTTTGAACATCGAAGGTTGCGCATTGTAGGGGTGGGGGAGGGTTTATACCACTTTCTTAGCGGTGATATATTTATATGCTACCAACCGCAGTAATTTTAAGCACCTATCAGTACACATTTCACACATCAAAGATTTCCCTAAACATTTGCCCTTATAACTTGTGTTTGAGGAGTATGGCCCAGCAGCGTTGCCAAGTGGTCGATACTTTGGGCAGGGAAGAAAGTAGTATTGCCGTCATCACATGCATGGATACTATGGAGTATGTACTAATTGTATTTGGGCCTGTTTGTCTGACTTACCCATTTGAACTTTTTGTTATACGTGTTTGTAGCTAGTTCAAAGGAGTTAACTTGGGCCGAACACAATCCTTTATGAACTGATGTCACTGTTACGTGAGAAGTCAACCTACTACAATTCTTGTGAAAATTAAATACCGCTCTAATTGGCTGATATTTCAGTATGATATTTTCTATACCATTTTGATCAAGAGTCTCTTCGGCCAAAAGGTTCCATTCTCAATGGCTTCCAAGTTGCAGGGTGCACTCGTCATTGAAATATTAATGCAAGATAGTTCCTGATCAAATTGGCTAGAATTTTAGTATGTTATTCTTCATACCTCCTTGATGAAAAGTGTTCATCCGAAGGCTCGGATATTAATGGGTTCCGGGTGACACAGAGCGACAAGTGTAGTAAATTCAAAGAAATAATTTTAGTCTCTTTGAATAATGATTAAAAAAGTAATAATGAACGACTTCAATGCTGCTGTGATCCATCGACTGGATGTTGGCCTCTGTTAGCCGCAAATTCCGTATCTGTATCTTTTGAAGATGGAAGTGGAAGATGCCCCTTATATTACATTGTGTAGAGGTCACAATATGGAGAAGGATATTTTTTTATACAGAAGCAGCCGCATAGGCAGAAGCCTAAATATCAGGGCACTTAGAGACACTTTGTTGATTATCAACGGTCTGCCAGTTAAAGGGTCTATAAATATAATAAATTCACGGAAATGTATTTATAGTATAACTACTCTTTGGTATGATTTTTCATGGAAGACTAGATTGGTCAAATTGACATAATAAAAGCACTAAATTTCTAATAAATGGCCAAAGACATAAATGATACCTTTTTCATAACTTTTTTGAATGCAATAAGCTTGAATAACCTGTAACTCAAAAACCATTGATATATATCAGGAACATACTGCAACAGAGACTTTTGATCAGATTGGTACGGGCAATAAGATACTAAAACTTCAACCAGCTTGGCTAGAAGCCATTTGGCATATGAAATGTGCCAAATCCAATACATGCTTTGGCTTTTTTGTTTGTTGTCTTTTCATCTATATATTCTTTTTATTCAGATATATTCGAACATCTAAAACTATAACGCTGAGCCTTCAAGTGGCTTGTGGTACCACCTGCATATTTTGGGGAGTTTATCCATACACAGTTAGTGGAGGCCCATTTTTACCCACAGCGGGCTATATTCCTTATAACACCGACTTCTCTCCAGTATTCGAAATCACATTCATATATGAATTCATTGCTGTTTTATGTAGCGGAGTCATGAATACTGGGGCACTGTCTTTGATTGAAGGTAAATACTTCTTGGAATATGAGGGTTAATTCATGTGCTCCACCCCAAACGCCTTGTGATAAAGTTACATTCAATTTACTAATCTATTCTTTTATAAGTTAGCAGTACAGCTTTTGAACTGAAACAGACCAACCATCCTTTATCCAGGATATAAGATCCATCGAAGAAAGATACCAGAAATTGCCATCTATTACCATAAACGACCACTGAGAGAGTGAAACAGCAATCTGTCTGTAGGAATTGTATCCCATTCTAGGGTTGAACAAGCTGGTTGCCAAAAAGGCCAAATGAGAACTGGGATACAGTTCCATCAGATAGCTTGCTGTTTCGCTCGCAGAGGTGGATTCTGGTAATAGATGGCACCTTGTGCTGTCTTTGTAATTTGAATAAAAAATAATATCTCTATCTAAAAACAGAATATCATTATGCCTATTGAGAATGACTATCGTCGGTCTCATTAACTTTAATAAGTGTCAATGAGTGACGTATGCCCTTCTTCACCAAATAAATTTATCTGCATGGCTTGTGAACTTTAGTCTGTAGGAACGTTCATATTTTTTTCGGAATAGAGATCTGACGGCTCTAACGGGAAAACAGAACATTTACGTATTTGGCTCCATATCGGCTAGGAAGAAGGGCTTTAACGTAAGATAATGAGTCCGTCAAATTTGATTGCTATTCAAGTGTAACAATGAACACCCAAATTATATTAGTATGTTCATAAAACAAATCATTTTTAAATAAGCCTTGGAGAACGACTTTTTTTAATAAGGCCATAGTATTTTCAAATACAAACATACGAAGGGTACAGGGAAAAAAGATAAATGTCACAGAAAGTAAGTTTCGAGAACAGTGAATTTAAAAGTTTGAAGACTGCTAGACTCGTTGTACAGGGTGGGTCAAAGAGCTGACGGAGTACCATAAATTATAAATAAAAAGAAATATTTTGATATACAGGGTAGCCCAAAAGCGAAGGAAAACCAAACATTTTCATAATGGAACATCCTTTTTGTTTTTATATTTTGAGATTCTCCTTGTGATTTTAAACATTTTTGATGTGTTAGCATTCATGTCTGAATCCAACTTTTTTGAGATACTGAGCTTAGAAGTGAACAATTCCTCATATGCGACACCCTGTTAAACCTAAGGCTTGATTAACCAGCTTATGTTGAGTTTTACGATCTGTTCTAATATGAGAACTATCTTAACAGGAAATTTATTACACAGGGCCTAGAACATGAGAAAAAGATCATTTTCTAACCTCAATAACTCAGAATTATTTCTAAGTATTTTTTTAATTGGGACAATATAATAATGAACCAAAAAAGCTTTATTCAAAAGAATATAGAACATCAAAACACAATTAATGGTAACTGCTTAAAAGTGACTACTTAATGTTTATTTCTTTTGTCGCAGATTGGTGTATGGTAAATTGTTGTAGAGCTACTGTTTTCGATCAGTGGATGTTCAACTTTTTTTCATACAATGGCTGTGACAGTCATCTTTTTTCCTGCGGGGAAAGTTTTAATTGGATATAACTAGGAACTGTCATTGTTTTTGGGTGTTCCCGATACCTCATGAGATTGTAGTGCGTTAAGACATATTGCCGGTTCTAACAACAAAACATCAAATTTGTGACATTAGTCTTTTTTCCCCTGTTACCCTTCATATTTTACATATGCGTTACATTGTTTCGATTCTGTTGTCACCAAATATTTGTTCCTTAAAATGTAAACATACTGTAGCGTTTCAATCAGAATTAAGTAGGAAACATGATTTCAGGATTTATATAAAACTTGCAACTTGAGATTTCTAGAAATAAGGTCATGTGGCTTGAGTACCTTATTGCCCAAAGCTTTCACTTATCAAGTAAGATTCTGCAATGACGATAAGGTGATAAGTTCATAACGAACTCTGGTTTTATGAGTCTTAATGCAACTCGAATATTTTCAGTGCTGGCCCCACTGATTCATCTCAATCTTCCCCTGGCCGATAAGTGAATCCACAGAAATCTAAGAAAATACTCTTCATTTTAATTTTCAGGTCTGATCATGGTAGTCGGAGCCGAACTAAGAACTCTGAATGATTCTTTGGAGAACCTGAAGGAGTATTCAGAATCCACCATTGGAGTATATGGCAAAGGCTGTTATCAACTGGCTTCTGAAGAACTTGACAGGAAGATGATCGAAAATCTCATAGATTGTCTCATCAAACACAAATATATCATAGGGTAAGTGAACATTGTTTTTAGATAAAATCTCTGGTCATGGGGTATTAAGATATGGTATATGTTTCCATCTGTAGGTTCTCTTGAATATTTGATGAATACAGAAACTCATATGTGCATTGTATTGGATACAAGTGAAGTTAAAGGTATCATTAGGATATTTTTCTCCATTGTGAAGACATAATACGGACCAATTTACTACTTTTTCCAATCTTTTCCTCTGTCATTTTCTGCAGGTGACACGACTTATTTCTGCTTTGTAATTGTATACCAAGAAAAAATGTATTTCGTATGTGAGTCTATAGTACAGGAGTTACTATTATACGCACATTATTTGGAACTTAGCTGAAGTAGGGCCATAGACCTCAATAATATGCCAGCAACATCTAAAGATCGCATCAAGCCCACTGATCCATTGACGTATCAATATCTCTTGTGTCCTGATGTGATTTAAGCTATAATCGAGATACGCATGTTTATGCGTTGAAGAATAAACACTTAGGGTATTGACATTGGACATCAGCTTTTCTCTACCAGAAATCATTAATATCTTTCTTTTTCAGGTTCTTAAATGAAATATCATTCATATTTGGCAAGGCCCTATTAGTTCAGTATATGATCATTGTACTTATGTTGTGCACAGCGTTGTTTGAAATGACAAAGGTAATTATAAGGTGTTTATTATTATTTCCGTTACATTATTACCGATTTTTAGGTTCCTGTAGGAAGTGTTCCGTTTTTCTCTTACATTTGCTTTCAATATTGCTCAGTTACTGGAATATTTGTATTGTGTTATTTTGGAAATGAAGTTATAGTAGAGGTAGGTTAATTGAAAAACAATTTTTACTAGAAACACTATACAACTTGGGTGTCATAGGAAGTGAAAATCAGACTAAATGACAAACACTGACAGCGAAATGTGATTTGCGAATGCGGGAAAGATGGGTTGAGTCACCTGATTGACTGTATATAATTCTATAGAAGCCTCGTATTTCTATATGGTAAACGTATGAGCTAATATAGTTTTTTTGAATCTTCAGAGTACTAGATTAACCTCTTCGGCTTACAGTTGCGATTGGACTGGGTGCTCCCAAACATTCAAAAAGCTTCTTCTTATCTTTATGATCAGATCTCAAAAAGGACTAGAACTATATGCTGCTAATGTGTTTTCCATATCATTGGAGAACTTTTTGAAGGTACTATAATCACATATAATTTTATATTGACTCTATCAACCATTTTAAATGTTTAGCAAAGTGAAGGATTTCACATTTTTACTTTAGACGCTAGTGGTACTATATTATATATTATTATATTATTATAAATATATATATATTTACTTCTAGAACTTGAATTATACTGCATACCATTAGTAAATACGTATGCATTTTTCTAGATTATGAAATCGGCGGTTTCGTACTTTACAGTCCTCCAGCAGTTCAGTGATGAAATGGCCTGAAGAGATACGTTGACTATATTTACTGAGTTAGTTATCTATCTAAATAAATATATTAAAATACACTACTAGCTTTTATTCTCTTTAGATTCACATACATTATGGCATTGAGTTTTCTACCTTGTTTTTCATTTATATCGACAAATTACTTTATTGAGTATCTTGAGTACTTTCACATTAAAGCTTAGAGATTTTTTATTTTTTTTCGTATTTTTGCCCACAGTTCCACAGCCACTGAATCGGTACAAAGCTTTTTTGTTCTTAGCGTAGTAGTAACGATGTGTCAAAATTTCATCAAAATGACTTACATGGGCACCTCGGTTGGCCGCGTGGGTCAGAGTGTCGTGCTACTGATCAGCCGGCCGGCCGCGAGTTCGAATCTCGCCTTCGCCATGGATGTTGTGTGTTTGTTTTAGGCAGCAGCGGTGGCCGCAGTAGTAGACTCTTCGGTCTCCTGATCAGTTGCCGTGCGCTGTGCGGGTTCGAGTCCCGTCCCAGGAGAAATCTTTCTCTTGGCTATGGATGTTGTGATTGTCCGTAGGTGGTAGATGGTCTCTGACTGTCGAACGCGGAGGTACCACCCGGCGGTTCTCGTAGGCGGAGCCAGAATGTGTGCATGTTGCATGCACACGTGTTCCCTCGCCAGAGTCCGTGTGGCGTCCCCCCTTTTCCCATGTATCCCCCTATAACCCCACGGTACCCAATGGGTGCTTAGGCCTTAGGCCTTCGTGGTAGTTGGAGTATAAAAAAAAAACTTAGATGCTTTAGATGCTTTATTGTATTCGGATCATAGAAATGATATAAGACTCGTCAGGCATATCTCTATGAGTACATTATTATCTACGAAAATTAAAAATATAGTTAAGTATAAATACATAAATTTGTCGGTTAAAAATGGAAAGAAACACAGTTTAGTCGAGAAAACAACAGATACAATAATAATAAACAGAACAAGGTGTAAAAGAAGTAAGTACAATAAAAATAGAAAAAAAATAATAGGTACGCATATACGAGTAAATATA